ATGGAGGTTCCTCAAAAGACTCCACATAGAACTCCCCTATGACCCAGCAATCCCACTTTTGGGCATTTACCCAAATGATCACAAACAAGACTGTACTAAAGCTACCACCACAACTATGTTTATTGCAGCATTATTTACCATAGCTAAGATATGGAACCAACCCAGATGCCCCTTAGTAGATAAATGGATCAAGAAAATGTGGTATATATACACAATAGAATTCTATGCCTCCATCAGAAAGAATGACATTGCCCCATTTGTTAGGAAATGGAAAGACTTGGAAAAAATTATGTTAAGTGAAGTAAGTCAGGCACAAAGAAATATAGGTCCCATGGCTTCCCTTATTTGCAATAACTAGTATATGTCTGAGACAAACAGAAAAGGTCAGATAAGTTGATATTAGGCAAAATGAACCCCAAGATAAAGATTCAAATGTTTTTTTTCTTTCTTGCGATTGTTTCCAACATATTTATAAGATGATTTCTTTGTTGCTTTGTATGTACCTCCCCCAGAGTATAAGCCCTGCTTTCACTGTATTTGATGTTGATATAATTTGTGGAGGGGAAGGGAAAAAAACAAACTGTTTAAATAGGGTTACAGGTGGACCCATTACAACAATGAGGTGTACAAGATGTTATGTTGAAAAACGAACTTTACAACTTTGGCAGGGTGGGGGGTGAGGGGGTGGGAGGGTGTTAGGGGGTGTGGGGTTGGAGAGGGGAAGGGATGGGAAGGGGAAACAGAGGAGGAGGCAACAATGTTTGATAACAAATGTACTCACTATCTTGCCCATGTAATTGTAACCCCTCTGGATGGTATTTTCACAATAATAAAAAAAAAATCATGTCTTGATCCAGCAACTGCTGCCAAACTGTCCCTCAAAGGGGTGTGCTAACAGGTGCTTAATTCCATCCATTAGAACTCTCTCTGTGCTGCCTCTGTGCTGTACAATATTGGCCCTGGCTAATTCTTCTGCCCTGAAGACTGCCTACTTGCCCAACTTCTTCCAACTTTGGGTTTCTTTTCCTAGATTCTGACTTTTTTCCTCCATTTGGAGTCTCCACCGATTAAGAGCTCCTTAAATAACTTCCTCTTCAGTCTCATGCTTGGGTATCATTATGTTCACCCCAGATTCTCATTGCTGGAAGTCATGGTAATACTAGTGTGTTAGGCTGGAGTTGGGGTGGATGGTGAAACTCTGGAACCAGACTGGTCAGCTCCGATCCCATTTCACTACACTCCTGTACCCTTCCCTTGGCCCTACACCACTGCTCTATCCACTACCTGGCTGGATAGCTCTAGCCACATGATTCAGCTACCCTAAGCCTCACTTTGTCATCTTTTAATTCAGAGAATACATTTGGATAGAGTCTAACATTCCTTGTGGCTTAGATGTCACACTATTGATGCCTTGCAGGTAGCCTCCAATCACTTAGGAAGCTGCCTTCCTCCCATTAAACATGGATTATGCAAGGCGGTTCTTAGTGTCAAAGTTAATTGATTCCCAAGTTTTACCTCTTCCTCGTCCAAAATACCCAGACACCCTGGGAAGAACATCAGAAACATTACATTGGAATTAACCTAGGGTAGCTGCTCACCTGGGATGCCTGTGCCCAGCCGCCTCTACTCTGACAATGGATCTAAATTCCGACTTGAGACATGGAGAACACAGAATGGAAAAAGAGTTGCAATGACTCAATAGCAAAGCCGGATTTCAACGGCTCTAGGACTAGTGAGGGCACCACCCTCACTTTCTCTATTTCTGATACATCTATGGCAAACATTTTTCTTCCAGTATGTCTATGTGTTTTAGTTCCAAAGCACATTAGCCCACATCTGTGCCTTAGAGAGTGGAAATGCTGTGGTAGAGGAATTCAAACAGTGAATGTCATATAAAATACCCTAACTTCACTATGGAAAGGAGGCATCGTCAGCCCACAAATACATAGAAACAGATGTTCCCCATTGTAAGTTCAGACAGGGACGGAAGGGCCAGATATGAGGATTTGAAAGCTAGCCCAGCTTTAACTCTGGATTTAAAAATGTATACTTTTTTTCCAGGCACTGCTGGCTCACACCTGTAATCCTAGCTACTTAGAAGGCTGAGATCTGAGGATCATGGGTCAAAGCCAGCTTAGGCAGGAAAGTCCGTGAGACTCTTGCTTCTAATTAAGCACCAGAAAACCAGAAGTAGTGCTGTAGCTCAAAGTAGTAGAACACTAGCACTGCGACAATGCCCAAGCCCTGTCAGCAATATATGTGTGTATGTATGCGTGTGTATGCACATATATTACATATATGTGCATGTATATATGTACTCTTTTACAATGATAGGCTACAACTGAATTTTTAAATATAATTGTTATTATTAAGATGTTGTACAGAGGGGTTAGCATTTTATAAGTCAGGTAATGAGTACATTTCTTTTTTTTAACAATGTCACCCTTTCCTTCACTTTACAACTGAATTTTATAAATGCGTGCTTGTCCTCCCACTAGCTAACCACGATGGCATTTAGTTAGAGTGATGAATCTCAAGTTTATTGACATTTCTCAGGAGTCATATTGTGAATTTTTTCCTTGTAGATTTCCTACTGATTTTCACACATATAAAAGTGGAATTTCTCATGGTCTTAGCAACAGTGAGTTCCATCTGACAATTCAGAAACTTGGAGGACAGTGAGAACTCTCACTTCACATAGAGTTCCTTGGGTATAGGGGAAGAGGAGGGAGGAGGGGAGGGGAGGGGTCACAGGTCACGGGGTCACAGGATCCCATGACCTGAGCACACATCCTACCTGGAAGGAAGCTGCTTTGCTTTGGAACATCAAGACTGAACAAACAGGGTGGCTCTCCAGAGACCTGGGGTTGGAGAAGGCAGGCTATCAGCATGAGAAAGGCAGTGGGACCCAGGCTTTCCTTGGTTTGATGTCCTTTGAGATAACTCCAAATAGGTGATTAAAATCATCCAAGATGAGTGAATCTATAGGAGGAACTAGAATGTTGAAAATTGTAATTATTTTTTTGAAAACATGCCATTGGGTCTTCATCTCTTCCATACATACCCTCACCAAAAAAAGAAGACATTATCTTGGCAGAGAAAGCAAAGCTGTGGCCAGATCTTACCACAGAGCTTGGTCAGGAAATCCACCTGGTTTGGTGAAAGTTCAAGGACTTATTCTAGTCTCTAGTCTCTTTTCTATTATTCCAGAAATGGTATTTCCCCAACATGTTTGCTACTATGTAAGTTTTGAAGTTGAAGAGAAGATCTTGGAAAAGAAATACAGACAAGTCTCAGTTCTTGTGCTCTATTTGAATAAATAACTCACATAAGCTTAATTATATTAAGATAATTACAAATACAGCCACCTGGGAGTGAGGGCTTTGGTGTCTGAACATGGGAGGGACACAATTCAGTTTATAGCAGTAGGAGATCCACTCCCACTTCACAAGTAAAGCTTACAAATTAAGGAACTAAATTCTCACTGCTTGTCAGTGGAGAAAGAATTATGAGGCTAGGAAGCTAACTTCTAAGCCAAATGGTCTTAACTATTCTCCCAAAGTAAAAAATGTCAATAGCCTGTACGTTCTCCATCTAGGTGACATGGTAATCACTAATTTCGTGGCTACATTTTCTTATTGCTGATAATGTATAGCCTCATCAATCTATACACTGCTGTTATTGTTACTAAACAATAATTGGCATAGCCACCTCTAAATATCAAAGGCTAGGTGCATACTTGGTATTTTACACTAGTTTCTGATATTGTTCATGAATACCTTAGGAACCATTCCTTTATTACCACAGCCTTTATCTGTGACTGTCCAGCAGCACTGTCAGAGTCCCTTAAGTAGGTCTGTCGTTTCTTGAACTGTGTGTTCCATCATCTGAACTACTCCCAAAGCGATCTTTGTAAAGTATAAATGTTTAAGTCTAGACACATGGCTTAAGCCTAGCAAGAATAAGGCCTTGAATTCAAATCCTACCCCAAGGCAGAGATCGACTCAGTCATGGTTTAAAGCCATTCCAGGCCCCTCCACAAAAAAAAAAGTCAAGAGACTCCATTTCAGGAGAGCAAGATGGATGGATGTAGTAATGCATGTCTATCATCCCAGCTAGTAGGAGACTGAGATGAGGAGTAGTAGAGTTACAGCCCAGCCTGGGAAAAACAAAAAGTTCACAGACTCCATCTCAACAAAAACAACTGGGTGTGATAGTGTGTCTCTCAGCCTATCATCCCAGCTACAGTGGGAAGCATAACTAGGAAAATGAAGGTCCAGGCTGGCCCAGACCACAAAAAAGGCACTATCTCAAAAATAACTGGAGCAAAAAAAGGATGAAGGTCTGGCTGAAGTGGTAGAGCAGCTTCCTGCAAGCACAAAGCCCTGAGTTTAAACAACATCTCCGTTCTTTGTATGTAATGGTACTCAGTTAAGATGGAGGAAAATATTAACCACAAACTCTTTGCTCAGAAAACCATGTGTTTCTTCTCTTATTTTTTCCTAAATTTCTCCTGCTTTGACTTCAGCGAAAGAAATTGGTTTACAGAAACTTTTTCCTCTAGTGTTTTCTGTCTGGTTTTATTGCTCCAAGCACAGTTCCTCCTTTGATCCTTGAACATCGAGGATAATTATATTTAGGTTCCTGATTGTGACATCAGAAGAAAACCGAAAAGGCAAAATGTTAAACATAAAAAAGGCACAAACATCTAACCCTCAATCGGACCCTGACTTCTCACCCTTCCACCCAGTGATGGCTCCTGGGTTTGCTGTTTGAATGACCTCTTGGTATTCCTTTCCACCCCCACAACACAAGTTTCAGCTCCAGCACAAATATTTGTCCTGGTGTTGAACAAAGTTAGAGAGCTTTACTTTTTTCTCTTCTTTTTAAAAATGAACTGTGCTCCTCTGCTGTTCCTTTGAACTTGGTTCAGTAGGAAGAGGAGTGCAATTCTCCCCAGACCATATGCTCCAGGGAACTTGGCACAGCTGCCCAGCAAAATGAAGCTACTCACATACTTTCTCATCTGGGTATTTCTTTTGGAAGTACAACCTTTTGAAATTCCCACAGATGGCCTTTCCGAAGTAAGTAGTTCCAGACAATTGCTTGCTGTTGGTTTAAGTTTGGGAGGGGGGTTGTTTTTTTTTTTTTGTTTTGCCAGTCCTGGGGCTCCAACTCAGGGCTTGGGCACTGTCCCTGGGCTTCTTTTGCTCAAGGCTAGCATTCTACCACTTGAGCCACAGAGCCACTTTCAGCTTTTTCTGTTTATGTGGTACTGAGGAATCAAATCAAGGGCTTCAAGCATGCTAGACATGTACTCTACCACTGAGTCACATTCCCAGCCCTGCTGTTGGTTTAAATATGGTCAGTGCATATGGTCATTGCAATTGGCATTCAGTGAACTTGTTCTGTGGAGAATGGAAACGTGAGAGAATGTTCATCAGTGTACACATGTTTGCTGGCATAATCACTGGAATATATTTGCCTCTTAAGATGTTCACAGGTCTTGCATCAGAATTAAGTCAAGCTCCATAGTCAGACATCATACTGTAGCATTTATTGATGGTGCAAAGTTGCTATTCCTTGCTTGGAATGATAGGGCTGGGAAGGTGGCTCAGTGGTAGAGCGCTTGCCTTGCATGCATGAGACCCTGGGTTTGATTCCTCAGCATCACATACACAGAAAAAAAAGCCAGAAGTGGCATTGTGGCTCAAGTGGTAGAGTGCTAGCCTTGAGCTGAAGAGCTGAGGGACAGCGCCCAGGCCCAGAGTTCAGGCCCCACGATTGACAAAAAATAAATTTGGATGGAATGATAAACTGGCCCTAGCCCAGTGGATTGTTACAAGAATTAAATTATGTGTGTCGGGGCTAGAAAGGTGGTTCGGTGGTAAAGTGCTTGCCTTGCATGCCTGAGGACCTAGGTTCAATTCCTCAGCACCACATAAGGAAAAAGAAAAGAGCCGGAAGCGGTGCTGTGGCTCAAGTGGTAGAGCACTAGCCTTGAGCTGAAGAGCTGAGGGACAGCACCCAGGCCCAGAGTTCAGGCCCATGACTGGACCCCCCCCCAAAAAATTATGTGTGTCAAGCAACTAATGCAATGCATGGACTAGTACACTTTTAAGAACTACTAGTATGGTGTATAAATTAGTAAATTCTTAATAATCATTGATGAGCTGGTCAACAGTGGCTCATGCCTTTAATCCTAGCAACTCAGGAGGTTGAGATCTGAGGATTGTGGTTCAAAGGCAGCCTAGGCAGGAAAGACCATGAGATTCTTATCTCTAATTCTCCAAATCAATCACCAGATAAAGCCAGAAGTGGAGCTGTGACTCAAGAATACCCAGGCCCTGAATTCACACCTTAGTATTGGCACGTAAAGAAATCATTGGTATTATGATGATGAAGAAATATCCATCATGTTTTACTCAGCATCATTATCAAAGCACACTGTTTTTCCTACCTAAGTAAACAGTGATTAGTGTGATGAGGACATTTCAAATACTCCTATTAAAGGGGCAGGGGCCAGGCACCACAGAATAAGCACCATGGAGTTCAAGTTCTCTACTTTGGATCCTCAGCCATACCAGTGGAAGAAGAGTCTTGGCTCAGGTCATTCTGAAAGTTATACATGAGCTACTTTCATAATAAAAAAAAAGAAGAAAGAAAGAAAATATATTGTAGGACTATTCTAGCAAAAGTTAATAGCTGTGATACTTCAAGAATGGATTCCTTCCAAACATATCAAAATATGATATGGTGTGTTTTCAGGAGGAAAAAATCTGTTCTGTTTGGAAGCTATCATCTGTTCCACATTATATATTCCAATACTTTGAAATCTATCACAGTGAGTAGGGACTTTCCTATAGAAGGCAAGACACTCCAATATGTTTGTAGTCTTAAAATCATTTCTAACTAGTTTTCCTTCTATAGCTACATTAAGGTAAAGGAGATAGATAGTTCATATTTGTCTAGGCCCACACTGCTAATGCCAACGTTCCTCTATCCAAATATTTCCCCATTCACTACTAACCACTCTGGTCACTCTGGGCTCTTTGTATTGTCTGATCATCTCCAAGGTGACATAAAAATAAATGTATGCATCTAACATATTTGAAGATGTGAATTTCCACTTATTCACTTCCGAGACCCAATTAATAAACATAAATGCATTGAAGAAAACTTTGTATAGAGACTGGGCTTGTTCGGGGACAAAGGAAAGAATGTGAAATTGTGTCATGAATCATGAACACTACCAGTTACCTCTTTTCTTCTGGCTATTTTGTTGCAAAATAATACTCATCCAAAATTCCTTTTCAAGTTTGCAGAATATGAAGATCTGGTGGAACTGGCCCCAGGCAAATTTCAATTTGTGCCAGAGAACCGGAGGCATCAGGTAGGTTAAACTGCACTTCCCGACAGTAAAATACATGAAAGAAAGCATGATTGAAGAAGTAAGGGAGCTATGGAGATCTCTCTTAGAAGATTAGCCTCCAGTGGCATTTCAGTCACTTGGAAATGTAAAAATAAAGTTTATTTCTGCAGACCTTTCTAGAAACTTCCAGACATAATGGCCACTTAAAAGATTCACCATCATATCATTTCCACACACCCCCCAAATGAAAGATTATGATGTTATTCTAGGACAGAAGTTTGGAGAGTTTTTCTTTACCCAGACAGTCACTGTGGACATATATTGTCCTTCGTGGGGTCATTCTGTCTTGGGGAGCAGCTCAGAGAGCCCTTGGGGGAGACAGCATGGACAAGTCCCGGTGAGGAATGGGGTACATCCTCTGCACAGCCAGGAAGGCCTGACTGCTCCCCAGTGTCCACATATGGGGAAAGAAGGAATTCACCCACCTTCAACTCACCGCTGACTTATTTTGTCATTCAATATTTGACTTTCTAAAGTCCAGGCTTTTATAGATCAGCAATGTTAAAACACAACAGGAAAGAAGATCTATGTCAGGTTCTTCACCCGGATGTGGGGGAGAGAATGTAGTCAGGAAGGCTCACATTCAGAAAGGAGGGGCAGTTCTAGACCTCTTGATGCTACATAGCACCCCTAAAGCCTGAACTCACCTCAAATCAAGCAAGCCTGAACCCTGCATTTTTAATATATTTATTGTTATTATCCTTAAGTAGTTGTGCAAAGGGGTTTCTAGTCAGCACGTAAGTTTGTGAGTACAGTGCATTTTGTAACCCACTGGTCAATCAATCTTCAGTTGTTCACCTTCAAAAAGCAAGGTGATGCCACTGGTCCAGGCTCACGGGTGTTTATGTGGATAATCCCCAAATGGTGCTCAAGAGCAGAGAATCTTCCAGATGCCAGCCGCTGTGCTTAGCTGCAAGCTCCTCATGGCAGGAACACACTGATGGCCCTGCAGTCCTGAAGGAAACAGACAGATCTTAACCAAGTCATCGCTCATGTAGAGTAGATAACCATAAAGCAACTTGGATGCTCTGAAGGAGAGAAAATGCTGCTATGGAAACAGAAAAGGAAGCTGACCTCATCAAGATGAGGTTTTAGGGAGAATTTCCCTGTGATCCGGAGGATGAGGAGGGGTGTAGAAGGGGCACTTCACCATGAGAGCAGCAGTGCATGGTAGAGTGAAATGTCAAGAGCTCTTCAACCAAACATAAAGCAAATCAGAGAGACAGAAGGAATGCATGATGCTCAATATGACCTTGATTGAATGTCTTCACTTAAAACAATGTTTGTTTTAGAGCCAGGTGAGGTAGCTCACATCTGTAATCTTAGCTACTCTGGAGGCTTATGAATGATTTCAGTTGGAGGCTAGCCTGGGCAAAATAGTTCATGAGACCTCATCTCAACAGAAAAAGCTGAGTTTTGTAAGGTGTTCCTGTCATCCTAGCTAGGCAGGAAGCATAAATAGGAAGATTATGGTCCAAACTGGCCTGGGATAAAAGAAAGAGCCTGTATCAAAAATAACCAGAGGAAAAAAAAGATGGGGCCACTTGGATTCTTTTTTGTTTATTTGGGGGGGTCCAGTCGTGGGGCCTGAACTCAGGGCCTGGGCACTGTCCCTCAGCTCTTCAGCTCAAGGCTAGCACTCTACCACTTGAGCCACAGCGCCACTTCCGGCTTTTTTCTTTTGGCTTATGTGGTGCTAAGGAATCGAACCCAGGGCCTCAAGCATGCAAGGCAAGTGCTCTACCACTGAGCCAACTTCCTAGCCCATGGGGCCACTTGGATTCTATCTACCACACATGAGGGAAATGATGCAACCTTTGTTTCTCTGGGTCTGGCTTGCTTCACATAATATCATTTATTCCAAGTTTTTCTGTTTCCTAACAATTGGTACAATATCATTATTTATATTAACTGAAGTATAATAGACTCTATGGAGAGCCCGAGTGGTGAATTGAAATCCTTTTGTAGAACTACTTAAGAATAATACAATATGTAAAGTAATAATTTTAAGAATTTAAATGGGCCGGAGGCTTGGTTCAATCAGCACAGCACCTGCCTACCTAGCAGAAGGCCTTATGGAAACCCTAATTACACCAAAGGAAAACAGAATAAAAATATTTGTTTTAGGATTGTATCATAGCCATATGCATGCAGCAAAAGTTGTTGGATGAAGTCTGGAAGCAAAACAAAACAAAAATAGTTTTTGAGGATATTCCAAATAGTTTTCTGAAACTATTAACACATTTATTTCTTGGCTCCGTTGGATGAACTATAGCTAAGTTATAGAAGGAAAACTTTTGGATTGAGAGAGTAGTTTTCCACCCTGAAGATAATAAATACCATGCACATTACAAGTAACTCTCTGTCTTCCTTCCACAGAGAAGCCTTTCCGAAGAGTCAGGAGAAAAGATGGTACGTTTGCTTTGATTTTGTTACAGATTGATGTCTGAATGATTTTCCCGTTAACCATTACCTGAAAACCAATCTGGTTGTCTCCTTGTCTATGTCATTGAGAGTATTTACCTAGCTTTTGAAATACTCTTTGCTCAACTCTATTTGGAAGTGTCACTAAAATTCAGCATTGAATGAGCGAAGTATTTACAATCAGGTCAGATGAACCAAGAACTGCAAATGTCTTCTTTATTTTCTTCAGTTTTTCTGACAACATATGTATTTATTCCAGTATGACATTTTTTTGAGGGGGTCCGGTCATGGGGCCTGAACTCTGGGCCTGGGCGCTGTCTCTCAGCTCTTCAGCTCAAGGCTAGCGCTCTACCACTTGAGCCACAGCGCCACTTCTAGATTTTTTTCTTTTTGCTTATGTGGTGCTGAGGAATCGAACCCAGGACCTCATGCATGCAAGGCAAGTGCTTTACCACTGAGCCACCTTCCCAGCCCCCAGTATGACATTTTTTATTTAACATAGAGACTGAAAAAAAATTCCTGGAACATCTCAGGTGCCTAAGATGGTCCAAGTAGGACTTCCTGTGGCCAGAGAATACATACAGAAAGTGGGTTATGTTATACAGACAGGACCGTCAGAGCTCATATTTAAGGGGGAAAAGAGCAAGTATATTAGCCTGGTTTTTATCTTAGCTTGGTTTTTACAATAACGTTAATACATGCATATAATGTCCTTCAATCAAATTCACCCTCTTCTATTACTTCTTCTCTTTCTTTCTTCCTCCTCTCACCACCTTTTTTACACTTTTTATTGGTTTTCATTGTGATAGTTTCTTTTTTCTTTTGGTAGCATTGGAGTTTGAACTCAGGGACTCAAGTTTATTAGGCAGGCCCTCTACCACTTGAGCCAGGCTCACAGCCCTTTTGTGCTTTAATTATTTTTCAGATGGAGTCTCATGAATTTGCCCAGGGTCAGCCTCAGACCATAATCCTTCTACCTATGCCTCCCATATGGCTGGAATTACAGACATGTGCCTCCATACCAAGATTATTTGTTGAGACAGACTCAATAACTTTTATCAGAGCTTGTCTTATGCTAAAATCCTCCTGATCTCTATTTCTTGAGGAATTAAAGTTGTGACCCACCATGCCTGACCTTATGATACTTTCATACATGCATATATATATAGTGTATCAATCATTTTCACTGCCTTATCACCTGACTGCTGATTTCTTCCAAACAGTCCTCCTTTCATAATAATTATTATTTTTAAAATTTTATTGCTATTACTACTTTAGGTCTAGATCTCATATATGACAGAAAATATGTGATATTTGTCTTTTGAACTTAGTTTATATCACTCAGCATGAACCATAGTTTCATTGATTTACTGCAAGCAATATAATTTTATTCTTCTTTGTAGTTGAATAATGTTCCACTGTGTGTATGTACCACATGGCCTTTATCCATTTGTCAAAGAATTCAGCATATTATGACTCAGAAAGCAGCTGGATTCTTGTGGTTCATGCCTGTAATCCTTGCTACTCAGGAGGCTGAGACCTGAGGATCACGGTTCAAAGTCAGTGGGACAGGAAAGCCCTTAAGAGTCTTATCTCTGGTTAACTACTAGAAAAGCTGGAAGTGGAGCTGTGACTCAACTGGTAAAGGACTAGCTTTGCACAAAAGAGCTCAAGGACAGCACTTAGGCCCTGAATTCAAGCTCCAGGACTGGCAAAAAAAAAATACTCAGGATGCTAAAAGGCATCACACATTATTGCAAAATAATTTGCATTGTTACTATGAATCAGGGGCAGCCTAACAGCACCTGAGCCATGTGTTTATCAGTGCCCTAGAATGGTTTGCGACAAATTCAATGTACTATGGTTGACACCATATATATATGGTGCACTACATCTTCTCTGTGGGTACCATTATGTTCTTTCTCCTCTTTCAGGAGGATGCCGATCAGGTAACACTTTACAGCTATAAAGTCCAGTCTACCATTACTTCTCGAATGGCCAACACCATGATCCAGAGCAAACTGGTGAACCATTCTCCACAACCTCAGAATGTCGTGTTTGATGTTCAGATTCCCAAAGGAGCCTTCATCTCCAACTTTTCCATGTAAGTAACTCTACCCAGAGTCTCTGTTAGAGTATATTAGACTTTGTCAGAGAACCACACAGACATCCAGGTACAAAGAACAAAGAAAGGTTTATTGCCAGTGAAGGGATTGGCAAGACCCCTTCTCACAAGGGAGGAGTGAGAAGAAGTGCCAGCTATTATCTGAGGTGACCTATATAACCGACAGAAGCTAGGAGGGCCTAGGAAGTGGAGACCCCAGTGTGAACTTGTGGACCAGGGGCTTCATCATGGCAGTCTAGGATTCATGGCTGCTGCCCAAGTAGTAGATAAGGGGCCCTGCAGCTGCACAGACCTGAAGATCACTCTGAGGGACTCTTGCTGCCTTATTTGGTGGTAGCTGCCCACAGAAGAGTGCCATCTCAAGGTAAAGGGGGGCTGGAGGCTGATTATTTACTGCCTTTACTACATGAGCTTAGTGTTGCCTAGGAAGGGAGCATTCCAAGCTATGGAAGGGGGAAGGCTCTTGCTAAGCTATGGGAAGGGAGCTCAGTGGGCTAACATCCCTAAACCGGGTAGTGGTCTCCTCAATGATTCAAACACCCTCCTCATTAGCACTGACCTAAATCATCCACTGTTCTGGGGCAGGGCAGGTCTCACTTCTTGAGGCATACTGCCCTGTCTTAGTCAGCTGGTGCTGCTATGACTAATTACCACAAACTAGGTAGGTTTCAGCATTTAAAAAAAAAAAGATTTCTCATAGTTCTGGTGTTTGAAAAGCCCAAGGCCAAGGTGCTGACAGCCTCAGCTCTGGGGAGGATTCACTTCAGGATTCATGATAGCTGTCTTTGTGCTGCCCTCATATGGCAGAAAAGGGCAAGTGAGCTCTTGGGACTCCCTTTTGTAAGGGCACACAGTCCTATTCATGAGGACCCTACGACTCTCATGACCTAATCAAATGTTCTAACATGTTCTAACACCATAATGTTGGGGGATAGATTTCAACAGATGAATTTTGGTGGGATACTTTCTGTCCTATACATACCCCAGACTATGCTTAATTCTTAGTTCTCAAAGAATTATCTGATGAACCAAATATAAGTTGGCAAAGTAATGACTCACCTGTACTTCTCCTAGTTATTGTAAAGGCATGCCTAAAGAAATTCGAGCGTTAAAATTTGAATATGAAAAAGGTTTAAACGCAAACAATAATATATAAAGGGAAGTTTGTAGAGTGAGAACCAATGAATTACCTAACATCTTGCCAGTTCTGGGGCTTGAACTCATGACCTAGGCACTGTCTCTTATTTTTTTTTTATTCAAAGCTAGCATTCTACCAGTGGAGCCCAGTTCCGCTTCTGGTTTTTTTCCTGGTGAATTGAAGATTGGAGTTTCACAGATTTTCCTGCCTGGATTGGCTTTGAACTGTATCCTCAGATCTCAGCCTTCTGAGTAGCCATATTACAGCATAAGCCACTGAGCCCAGGCTATTTGTCTCTTCTTATTTCTTATAGATACAAAGTGGCCATTGATCCACTCATTAAATCAGCCTTGTTGGATTGGTTGCTTGTTACTCATTCATTTTGCTGAGACTCCTGTTCTGATTGGCTACCTTATTGTTTTCCAGGACTGTGGATGGCACAACATTTACTAGTACCATTAAGGAGAAAACTGTGGGACGAGCACTGTACTCACAAGCAAGAGCAAAAGGCAAAACAGCTGGATTGGTTAGGTAAGGGCTGGGTGAACAGGCTTTGCCTTCTTACTTCCATGGCTGCTGCTCTTACTATCCCATTTGCCCAACTAAAAGTAGGCAAGTGCCAGGTGCCGGTAGCTCCTGTCTGAATTCTAGCTACTCAGGAGACTGAGATCTGAGGATCATGGTTCAAAGCCAGCCAAGACAGCAAAGCCCATGAGACTCTTATCTCCAATTAGCCACTCAAAAAACCTAGAGCTGTGGCTCTAAGTGGTAAAGCACTAGCTTTGAGCTCAAAAGCTCAGGGATAGCATCTAGGTCCTGGGTTCAAGCCCCAGGACTGGCTCCAAAAAAATAGCAAAAAGGAAAAAAGTAGGCATGAAATCTGAACAAATGCAACTTTCTCAGTCATATGGTAGAATCGGGTCCCACACTATGTCCTAAAAGACCTTGCTTTCCCCAATGGGTTTTGGGAGATCTCACACATGTTGCACTTACAGTGATTGTCTCACAGGTAGATGCATGCTCTGTAAATAAACTCTAGTCTGTTTTCAAAGAGTGTAAAGATAAACTGCAGAAATAATGTGCTAGTGAGCTTGTCACAAAACAACACAGCCACAGAAGAAAGCTTGGGATTTATTCTGATACTTAATTCTTATTTTAATGCTTTAGTATTATTTTTATTAGGATAGGGCCTTCTAAAGGATTACACTTAAGATTTGGCAGATTTTTTCCCTTTATAATATTACATACAACCCATCTCAAAAATAAATAAATAAATAAAATTTTGAGTAAGAAGCTGTAAAGAAATTTTTGACTTATTACTCCTTCCATTATTCATGTTCTGTCAAATTCTGTCCAGTTTTTTCTTCTTCATCTTTTCTTCTACACCTCCAGACTTACCTCCAGTAGGAGTTCTTTTCCTGTTATTTTATCCATTCATTTTTTTATTCAGTCCATCAATAGAATTGCATCCAGTGTCAACGCTGTACCCAGTTACATTAGAGATGGCAGCTACACAGAAACAGACAACTGCTCATGGGGAAGAGAGAAAAGGTGACCTGGGTTACTGTGTGGATAGTGGACAAGGGCTAATATACACAGAGTATAAAAGACTATGGGAGCTCAGCATACAATTTTTAGGAGATCCAGAAAACATCTTTGCACAAGCTGGATGTTTCAGCTAAGTCCAAATAGGTGCATGGGAATCAGCCAGATGGAGAAAAGGAAGAAAAATTCCAAGCAAAGAGAACATTCTAGACATGCTGCAAGGTCAAGCAGCCCTTCTGTCTTCACAGAGCTCCTGGCTACCTTTCCCACCATTTCCACCACACCGTGTATTCATTTATTCATCCCACAAACATGGAATAGAGACTCTTCTGGATTTAACAGAAAATCTATAATTCACCTTCCAGTGCTCTAAACTGAATCTACCACTCACCTTCCAGCTCAGACTGCAAACATGACTGCAGACCACTCCCACCTTCTTTCCCATCCTGACACTCAAAGTTCTTCCCTGATCCCAAGCAGGCTGATTATGTACCATCCTGCCTGGGTTATTTAGATTTTGTTTAAGCATTCATTGTTCATCCTAATCCTGCACTCACATTACTGGCGAATCCTGTTTCCTCTTCAAAGCCATAAACCTTCCAGATCAATAACCTCACAACTTTCAATATAGAGTTATTACAAAAGGCTTTATAGTACTCAGTTTCATGAAATAATAAGATTCTCCCTGAAACACTTGCAAAATATGTAAAGAATCTCTCAGTAAGTCTCAGAATAGAGTAAGGAAGCGGAATTGTCTTTGGAGGAAGGTAAACTTGGGGTTGATCCCTGGTGTTACACCTGGCTCACTGTGGGGTCCTGAGCAGGGTCCTCCTCCTCGGTGAGCCTGGCTTAGTATCATCTAAATAAAATGACAGTATCGATGCTCATCCCGCAGAACCACCATGCGGGAGATGCAATAGGCTACTTCCTGGCACAGAGTAGGGGCCAGTCAGTGGTAGTCTTTTCCAGATATCCCTCAAATCTATAAGAAGCTCTAGAAAAGCTTCGATCAGGGAGGGAAAGTGACTGAAATTCCTGGTAGGATTAAACTTATCTAGAAATTGTACTCTTCTCTGGTGTACCTTGTTCGTGAAACACTGAGCAGGCCTGGTTACCTAGGATAGACCTGTGTCTAGATGCTAGGACTCACATGTGGTCGCATGTTGATGATGTGGGGGGGGGGTGGCTCTTGCACATAGGAGCACCGCTCTTGATATGGAGAACTTCAAAACTGAAGTAAACATCCTTCCTGGAGCCAAAGCACAGTTTGAACTTCATTACCAGGAGGTAAAGTGGAGGAAGCTGGGATCCTACGAGCACAGGCTTCATCTACAGCCTGGCCGGCTAGCCAAACACTTGGAGGTGAGCCTGGGTCCCCAAAGTGATGCAGCAAGGGTGCGACATCCCATCACCCTATGGTTCCCAGCCTCAGTTTATACTTTCTGATCCTGACCACTACCAGTGGTGTTTGGTGTTCTTATCCCACCCACCTCCCAAATATATGGATATAGTAGACGGAAAAGATTTGGTTTGAGGTCAATCATATCGCTTTTTTGTAGATTCTGACACCAGCTTAACTCATCTCTGACTATAATAATATTGGCTAATATAATAAGGTTCCAAGGATGCTGAAACAAATTACCACCACAAAGCTGCATTATCTCCCAGTCCGAAGTCTGAATTGAAGGCATTAGCAGAGTCCCTATGATTTGCTCATAGATACAGACAATAAAAAAGGATGAATTAATTACAGTGAAATCTTAACTCCTATTTGAATTAGAATTCTTCACTTGTATCTTCTTATCTGGCCATGGTGTATCTTGACCAGTGATTTCGTGGCCTTGTAAGTCTACTTTCTTCCTTCTTGATCATTTTGCTTCCCCTGAGTATCCTAAGTCTCCCTCAGCTTTCCCCTTAGAAGAAGACTTGTTATTGGATTTAGGGACCAAAGGAAGATTCCATTTCCTTAGCTTACTTTTATCCCCCAAAACACCTTTTCCAAATAAGTTTGCATTCATAGGTCCTGTAGATTTGACAAGATATCTTTCAGGAGACTATTATTTAACCCATAACACTGACTAACAGTCGACTTTCTCCAAGTTTCTACTTTCTTATCAACAAAGAGATGAATATTTGCATTCCTTATTTATGAGTGAGATGGACTTAGGGACATAGTTGGAGAGCACCCATTAGTAAGATGGATTTATGGAAATAGGAGTTAAATTAATATTAAATTGTCTTCCCTAATTACCCAAACTATCTCCTACAGATAGTTCCTTCTGGAATAGAGCTCAGTGGCAAAGCACTTGCCTAGCAAGTGCAATGTCTTGGGTTTGATACCCAGTACCAAAAAAGAAAAGACAAAAAAAGATAGGTGCAATTGTAATTCTAATTTGAAAATCTGCACACCTGATAAATCATATCATTTTATTCTCAAGGTATATGTGATTGAGCTCTTTTCTGGGCTTCTTATAACACATACTGTGCCTTTCTGTGAATTAATAAAGATGCTTTTCCTCCAGGCCAAGATGTCCCACACAGCTATGTAATTCTGGTTAGTTTTCTAACAATGATAATTAATGTGTGCCAGTTAGTCACCCACATTGTCTTGCTCAATACTTATAATCCCTTGTAACCATGATGCCATTGCATCTGATGATGAGACCACACACACACACACACACACACACACACACACACACACACACACACACCCCTAATAACACAAAGAACTAAAAGGCCCAAGAAAATATTTATTTTTGACAGAACTATAAAGTAGATGTAGAGATGTAGAATAATGACAACATGAAAGCGCCTATAAATAAAAACAGAATAGTATGAAGAAGAGTATATGATTCCATTTTTAGGTATTCCCAAAAACCCTGAAGGTGGACACCTGATAGGTGGAGAGGTTTACAAGTGGCTGGAGGGTGCAGACAGACTGTCACCATCTGTCAAAGACCCGTGGATGCATAAAAATAGAGTGGAAAAATAGAAAGAGACCCGCCTTGTGCTTCTAGAAGGGGGGAGGTTTGTGGAGTGGCCTTGTTTTATAGCAACTTACCCTCTTGCAAGCTAACTCATTCCATAAGGCTTGACGACCCCATGACCTAACTCCCTAGTGTAAGGTACCGCCTCTTCAAGTTTCCAGCACTTGAACACTGCCATCAGCTCCCAGCACATGGGAGCTTCTGGGTTGCTCCCAAGTCATCCCAGAGAGGAAATGAGTCCTGAGGAGTGACACAGTAGAGTGTCTGAGTTGCTGGAAATGGTAGAATCACAACCCGGGGAATTCAAAGAACTTCCAGGATGATATAGAACATAAAGAATTTCCCAGAATGCTACAGAATCATGCTGAGCAGACTTGGTGATGATAAAACAATCAGAGGAGACATGAGTAGTTGTACTGCTTAAAGACTTAAAGACCTTTAAAGCCGAAGCTTATTTTCTTTCTCACCTCCAGGCAAACGTGTGGATTATTGAACCTCAGGGAATAAGATTCCTTCATGTTCCTGACACTTTTGATGGCCATTTCGATGGTGTTCCAGTCATATCTAAAGGGGCCCAGAAGGTACCATAAATACTCGATGTTTCTACCCATATAAGTGGCCATTAGCTGCTGGCTTCTGGTCTCCCTTGTGCTCTAGGTGAATTAAAAGTGACCTGGCATTGGACTGAGGGCACTTGCTCCATAAGCAGAGGCTAGACTTCCCACTCAACATATAAAATAACTCCCATCGTTTCATTCCATTAGATCTATGACTAGCCTACTGACCAGCACCTACAGCCTGCCTCACAGATTCATGGTGACTCTTTATGACTCATAGCAAGAAATACTCAGTTTAATTCTCTTGGCCTTCCTGGCCAATCACAAGCAACTAGAGAGAGGTCAAACTCCTCTAAGAACCTTTTACAGATTCTTTTCAGAGCCAGGAGCCTTCTCTTCCTGGCAGAAAGGCGACATTCTCTGAATCTCTTTTTAAAAGGCCTGATGCCTGGCAAACAACATCACAGCCTGGCACAGTTTCTTCTCAAAAGCCTTGGCTCTTCTACACATGGTAGATTAAGCTTACAGTCCTAGCTACTTGGAAGACAGAGGGTGGGAGGATAGAGGTTCTAGGCCAGCTTGGGCAAGATGTTGACAAGACCCCTTCAACTAATGAAAATCTGAGTTTAGTGCTAAGTACCATTATCTTGCTACATGAGAGGTATAAATAGGAGGATTGCAGTTCAGGCTATTCCAGGCATAAATGCAAGACCAACATGAAAAATAACTAAAGGAAAAGAGAAATAAGGATATAACTCAAGGACTTAGAGTACCTGCCTTGCAAGCGCAAGGTCCTGAGTTTAAACTTCAGTACTGGAAAATAATGGGGGTGGGGAGCTACTCAGGTGAATGGATAGATGCACAGTGCCCACAAGGAAATCTCCCTTACCTGTGCAGAAGCAGGTGAGACTTCCACGCCCCCTGGCTGGCAAGGGCTGGACACAAAGACCAATTTCTGATGCCCTGTTCCTTCCAGGCACATGTCTCTTTCAAGCCAACAATAGAACAGCAAAGAAAATGCCCCAACTGCTCAGAGACAGCAGTAGATGGGGAACTGGTGGTGATGTACGATGTGAACAGAGAAGAGAAGGCTGGAGAGCTTGAGGTGAGTGTGAACAGACTCATGTGAGCTACCACACTGAGGCCCAGAGACTCCTGCGTTCTAGCCACAAGGCAAGTGTCATGGCTCCACAGAAGAAACTCCACACAGATTTCTCTGGTCTGCCACTAGGCATCATCTTTTATGTCAGGAAAAGCTAGGTAAAGGCTCACGGGGTCTCATGCTAATCTATTTTCTCTCTCTCTCTGTAACAGAATCTATATATTTCCACAGGGATGAAGGATAGAGAAGAAATAGTAGAGGCCACAACCACACAGCCTATAGCTGGGGATTGTAGTGTCCTGGATAGAGTAGGAGAAAGAATTAGGCAAGCCAATTTTTAGAAGACAAATAAGAGACAAATCTAGCGGGATGGCCTCCCACTAACTTCAAGAAAAACGCAGATTTTCTTGTGTTCTGACTCTTCACCTCATCTCTTGAGTTCTATGGCCCCAAGTGTACCTTGTTCTCCCAACACTGTCTGGAATCTTCCTCCCCACCCCTATTCAAGCCCTCTGCCACAATGGCAGGCTGACTCCAAGCTCATGCTCAGATTCCAATGTAGAAGCCATTTCTTTGGGGACGCCTTCCCATCTGAGGGAGATAATTGTCCTTTGGTCTCTGGGAGCCCTTTACTTTGCTAATGATGGCACTAAAGACCTTTCCTGATCAGTATCACCACTGGCTGTGAGTCCCACAGGGATGAAAACTTTGCCTGACTTGTAGTGAGTTAGCAGAGCACCCAATACTCTATGGGCTGGATAGAGCAGAAGATCGAGGAAACTGGTGGGAAAAAAGGCTCAAACCTCCGGAGGAGAGGAACACGAAGGAACGGCAGAAGGGGGATCAGGATGTGTACCCAACTTCCACCCTGCTCTTGGCTTCATAAGCCTTGTGTCTCTGTTTCCCATCAACCACCTCTCCTCTTATAGTTCCCTACCCGTAAACATTCATTGGGATCTGACTCACATGTACGTTCTATTTTCCAGATATTTAATGGATATTTTGTCCACTTCTTTGCTCCCGAAAACCTGGACCCAATTCCCAAAAACATCCTCTTCGTCATTGACGTTAGTGGCTCCATGTGGGGAATCAAGATGAAACAAGTAAGTGGCCTGGCTCGCAAGGGTAGGTGGGACTCGCGCCTTCTTTTGATCCCCTCCATCTTGTCCCCCACCCCCACCTTATAGTAACAGGGATTAAACTCAGGGCCTTGGACTTGCTAGGCAAGCACTCCACTACTTGAGCCGTGCCTCTAGTTCTTTTGCTTTTTTAGTTCGTTTTTCAGGTAGTGTCTTGAGCTAAGTTGGCCTGTGCCATCCTTGAACCATGACCTCTGGCTCCAGAGTAGCTGGGCTTACTGACATGAGTTACCATACACAGCCCTTTGATTCCTTCTTAACAATGCAATAATATCCGCGAGGAGGTGGGGGAGGGAGAGGAAGAGAGGAGGAGAAAAATACATTATTTTAAATGAATTTGTGAAGGAACCAGGTGATTTAATTTGAAATCCTTTGGGAAATATTTGGGAAAGGAAGAAGCAAGCATGCAGGTACCTAGAAGGCAGCAAGGACAGCCGGTTCACTGGGCCTGAGTCAGATACGTGACAGGCAGGGACAAATAACAGCAAATAACAGGAAGTTAGACAGCAGAGGAAAGCTATAGAAAATGGGAACTGAGAAGGAAGAGGTAGGGAAAATCCTGCAAAGCCTCCTGGGCCACTTTCAGAACTTTGGCTTTTTATTCAGAGATAAATAGAGAATTTTAGGAGGATTTGAATGAAGGAAGGGCATGACAGGTCGGAGTAATGCGTGTGACACATGCTGAGTGGTCTCCAGCTGCTATATTGAAAAGAGGCTGGTGGTCTCCACTATCCCAACAAACCTTGGTAAAAAGTTAGGGAGACTCCATCTTTTGTTGTTGTTGTTGGTTGGTTGTGGGGCTTGACCTCACACTGGGCACTGTCCCTGAGCTCTTTGTGCTCAAGGCTAGAGCTCTACCACTTTGAGCAACAGCACCACTTCTGGTTTTCTGGTGGTTAATTGGAGATAAGAGTCTCACAGACTATCTTGGCTTGGCTGCCTTTGAATCATGATCCTGAGATCTCAGCCTTCTAAGTAGCTAGGATTAGAGGCATGAGCCACCAGCACCCAGCTGAGACAGCATCTTAGTTAGTAAGTCAGCTATGGTTGTATGAGCCTATGATCCTAGCTATGTGGAAGGCTATAGATAAGAGGTTCAAGGTTTGAGGCCAGCCCAGCCAAGAACTCAGCCCTACCTAAAGAAAAACTAAAGCAAAAACAGGAGGGGCTTGCCCTGAGTTCAAACTACGGTACAACTAAAACATGATAGCTTGGATCACGATTTGCAGACATGCATATGGTATGGTTGAATTTTGTAATCTGTTTTGAAAGTAAACATTTTCTTTAGGATTGGGTGAGTTAAGAGGACAAAGAGTAGAAAGATGCACTTAGGATTTTACTTTGAACAGTTGGAAGGATAGAGTTTGCCAGTGATTAGCAGAGCCAAGGACAGCCAGGCACCAGTGGCTCACACCGGTAATCCTAGCTATTCAGGAGGCCGAGATCTGAGGATCATGGTTCAAAGCAAGCCCGGGCAGAAAAGTCTGTGAGACTCTTATCTCCAATAAACCACCAGAAAACAGAAAGTGGCTCTGTGGCTCAAAACAAGGGAAGGACAATGGTAGAGAGTAATGAAAAGCTAATGAAAGGACTAATAAAGCCACAGGAAGACACTGTACGAAGGAGAGAGTGAGCCATGGGCCAGATGCTGAAGATGGGTGAATCTGATGAGAAGTCCACGGTGCTTGGCGACTTCAAGGTCATTAATGACCTTAACAAGGATGGTTGCAGTGGAACAATGAGAATGAATGCAAGAGAAAATTTAAGAGACACTGAAGCAATTTATTTCAAGGAATTGATTGAAAGGGAAGCTGGAAAATGCAGAAAGGAGGGACAAATGAAGTTCTTAGAAAGGTGAGAAATCACAGCCTGTTTTATGCTTATGGAAATGAACCAATAGAAGAGGGAGATTTAAGGGGTAAAGGTCAGTTACAGGAACTATGGTCTCATTCGATGCCAGAGAATAGAGTCCAGTTTGTAGTAGGTGATTTTGCAGTCAGTAGAAATACTGCTTGATGCTCTATACTATCTAGTAACAAGGAAAAGGAAATACTGGCTGATTGGCTTTTATGATAGGAGGAGTGTATGGAAATTTATGTCTGATTCCTTGAGTTTTTCAGTGGAGTAAGAGTTGAGGTCATCAGCTAAAGTAGAGGAAGAGAGAGGTGGTCAGTGTCTAGACAAAGAAGACAAGAAAGGGTAGTTTATGGCAGTGGTAGTGGCATACAACCTGATGTGCCTTGTCTTTGGGAAGCTGAGGAAGGAGAATCATGAGGACAGGACAATTGTGAATTCCAGGACAAGCTGAGCTACATAGGGAGACCCCATTTCTAAGCAAATAGATAGGTGATAGATAAGATAGATAGATAGATAGTAATTTAAGAGTATGAGTAGCTGGACTTGAGAATGTTTGTGATCCTTAATTTAAACTAGGACTCATCAAGCTGATAGTACATAACAAAATCAGACAATAAAAATGTAAGTATCCCAAAAGTCCATTTATATGTTCATCATAGAAAAGGGATATGTCTGTGTTGACTGAGGTAGATGGAAGAGGTGTTCTTAAAGTTCATATTGAGTCAATACTTGGGGGATGGCAAGGGTAATTAATGGTTCTCCTAGATTGTGTGCTGACTTAAGAGTTTATGGAATGAGACCCTTGCTTATTCTCCTTTGCAATAGACTGTGGAAGCGATGAAGACAATACTGGATGACCTAAGAGCTGAAGACCAATTCTCTGTGGTTGATTTCAATCACAATGTTCGAACCTGGAGAAACGACTTAGTTCCAGCTACTAAAACACAAATTGCAGATGCCAAGCGATATATTGAAAAAATCCATCCTGTTGGAGGTGAGCAAGTGTGGCCTAAAGCCCAGTGGGAAATGTTCATACAGTTCAAATCTTAAAAATCATTACTGGAGATGAATACTATGACCTATACCTCTAATTCTAGCCCCAGAAGAGTCTAGATAACAGGATCACAGTCTATGCTGGTCCCTGGCCAAAAAACATGTGAGACCTTATCCAAAAAAGAGCTTAAGCAAAAAGGGGCTGGAGACATGGCAGAGTGTTCGTCTAGCAAATATGAGGCCAAGTTCAAATCCTAGTACTACCAAAAAGAACCATTATCCTCTACAACTATGGGTTTTGCCAGTCTGCAGTGATCTACACTAAATAATATATTTATTGTGGCATACTGAACACTGTTTATGGAGAAAGTCCAGTCTACCATTCCAACCTTTTACCAAAAAAAAGGCTGAGTAAAACATCATCATCATCATCATCATCATCATCATCATGGCCTTCTTTTTACTTGTATCACCTAAATTGTAACTGTACCTTTGAATTTGGTGTTTTGCAAAGTATTAGACTGATGTTCTGAAAGGCTTAATTTTCTCTACTGGGACACTTAAAATAATTTACTGCATAGAGGGATCTTGATCAGGCAGAGCAAAATTTGCATCACTTGGAAAGCAATACAGTGATTTCAACATTGAATAAGTTGTGCATCTATAACTACCTGACAGACAAACCTGAATCTAAGAGGTAATTACGTGTGTGAAAGGAAAGCCTGTGCAATAATACATTGTATTACTTCCCCAGGCACAAATATCAATGAAGCACTCCTGAGGGCAATCTTCATTTTGAACGAAGCCAACAATATGGGATTGTTGGACCCAAACTCAGTTTCTCTGATCATTTTAGTTTCTGATGGAGATCCGACAGTGGGCAAGTATCACTTCATATTTCTCGTGACACAGATTTTCACTGGTGCTTCTTAAAAAACATATTTTGCTTATGTGGAAACTCTAATGCCATTTGCTCGAGTTTGTAAGACCATTCTAAGCCCTTCCTTCCTACAGGAAGTCCCCTGACCTGGAAGCACTCCTCACTCCCCCCTCCCCCAAGTGAGTCCTCAGGTACTTTCAATGGTGCTTTCCAGTGTCTCAATTTCCCCTCCGCCACACAGGGAAAGTTGAGTTTGAATTCTATGCATGAGATGTGAGAACTGCTAATGCACACTGGTGTAAGGCATTGATTTTTGCAGCTATAGGTATATGGAAAAAATGGAGTTTATAAGTAAAGAATGACAAATATGTGTTCCAGCTCTCCTAAGGGTACCTCCAGAGGCCAGAATATCACAATTTTCTCTTGTTTTCCATTTCTCCTTGTTGCAGCTAGAGACACGACTGCTGTGTGTCACACCTTTAAGTAAATCATTGTTCTTACCCTTACGCCAGTTTCTTATTCACATCCTAATTGGGTTCAAACTCTCCCACCTTTGGTTTTCTGCTTTTATTTTTGTGTAGTTTATTTGTGTCCTTATGCTAATAAATGTAAGTACAAGTGGAGTAGATTGTGTTGTACTGACTGTTGTCGTGTAAACAAGGATGTGTCTCATCTGTACCTGTCACAGCTAAACAGAACAACCTGGCAGACTCTAACTAACAACACACCCAAAGTTTGAGAAAGACCAAAGCAACCATTTTATTAATAGTGAGACAGATAGCTAATATGTATTTGCTGTAGACTCGATGTTTTCTCCCTCAGATTAGATAACTTTTTTTTTTTTTTGGGTCCGGTTGTGGGGCCTGAACTCTGGGCCTGGGTGCTGTCCCTCAGCTCTTCAGCTCAAGGCTAGTGCCCTACCACTTGAGCCACAGCGCCACTTCCGGCTTTTTTCTTTTTGCTTATGTGGTGCTGAGGAATCGAACCCAGGGCCTCAGGCATGCAAGGCAAGCGCCCTACCACTGAGCCAACTTCCCAGCCCAGATTAGATAACTTTTAAAATTCTACTTTGGAATAAAATCATATGAAAGGAAATATTATAGCCAGCACCCATGGTTCACACCTGTAATCTTAACTACTCAGGAGGCTGAGATCTGAGGATCAAGGTTTGAAGCCAGCCTAGGCAGGAAAGTCCATGAGACTCTTATCTCCAATTAATCTTAGAAAAAGCTGGAAGTGGCACTGTGGCTCAAGTGGTAGACTTCTAGTCTTGAGCGAAAATGATATGAGGGAGAGCACCCAAACCCAGAGTTCAAGCCCCAGGATCAGGGGCAGGGAGGGAGGTGGGGGGGGGAATGATATCTATTCTCACTCTTATCCCTTCTTATTCATCCAGTTTCTGTCCTAGAGTGAGTCATTGGTTATGTCTCTAGAGATAGGTCATGCATTGCTGTATTGCTCTATATACACATTTGCACATATATGTTTATGTGCACATAATGCATGTGCACATGTACATGTGTACATAGGAATGCATTCTAGAAATATACTATGTATCCTCCTCTTTGAAAGATGTCTTTGAGTGCTGGTTGCAGTGATGCATGCTTGAAATCCTAGAGGGAGGATTTTTACTTCAATGGCAGCCTTGAGCAAAAAAGCTCAGAGACAGCACCCAGGCCCTGAGTTCAAGCCCTAGGACCAATAGAAGAAGAAGAAAGGAGAAGGAGGAGAAGGAGGAGGAGGAGCAGGAACAGGAGCAGGAAAAGGATCAGGAGGAATCTTTGCAATCATTCAGTATAAATACATAAAAATTGTTGTGTTCTTACTAACCACATGGTATTGCACTGTTTAAATGTAAATTGTTTTGATATGGTGCTATTCCCAAATGACATCCGCCATGTTTGCCATTGCCTATACTTCACTTTGTCATGTATGAGTGCATTTATAAAAAATTCTTAGAAGTTGAATTATGGAATCAAAAGGCAAATGCACTTTTAATTTTGATCAATTATTGTTTTTGCTATATTACCTTTTCTGGATTTTCTAAAAACTTGATAATAGTAGTTCTGTAGTTCCTTATTTTTTTTCTTTCTGTCACTCCCCAACTTTAGGTGAACTAAAACTGTCCAAAATTCAAAAAAATGTAAAGCAGAACATGCAAGACAATATCTCCTTATTCAGTTTGGGGATAGGATTTGATGTTGACTATGATTTTTTGAAGCGACTGTCTAATGATAATCGTGGAATTGCCCAAAGAATTTATGGTAACCAGGATACATCCTCCCAGCTCAAGGTAATAGTTTTTCTGGTGTTTCCTCCCTTACTAGAAATTACTGAAGTACCCAAATCTTAAAGGAGACAGCTAAGTTTAATTCAAATGTGTTAGTATTTCAGCCATGGCCAAGGAAGTCTTCAAGTCCTTTCTTACTCATTTCCCTCCATCCTTGTATTTGTGTACTACAAGTCGACTGGAGGCAGCAAAGCAGACCAAGGCACAGGCTTCCATAGTCCTGAACCAACAGGTCTCTCCATTCCCACACAGCAGTTGCTCTTCCTACTATGATGGCTACTTGCTCACCCTTCACAATGCATTGGATATTGTGTGTGTGTGTGTGTGTGTGTGTGTGTGTGTGTATGTGCATGGGTGTGGGTGTGCCAGTAATGGGTCTTGAGCCCAAGTCCTGTAGGCTGTCCCTTAGCTTTTTTCCATTTAAGACTATACCATTTAAGCCACAGATCCACTTATTGTTTTTTTTTTTTGGTAGTTAATTGGAGTTAAGAATCACACATGGGGCTGGGAAGGTGGCTCAGTGGTAAAGTGCTTGCCTTACCTGCATGAGGCCCTGGGTTCAATTCCTCTAGCACCACATAAGCCAAAAAAGCCAGAAGTGGCACTGTGGCTCAAGTGGTAGAGCGCTAGCCTTGAGCTGAAGAGTTCAGGCACAGTGCCCAGGTCCAGAGTTTAGGCCCCATGACCAGAAAAAAAAATTCACAAACTTTTCTGCCTGGGCTGGCTTCCAACTATGATCCTCAGATCTCAGCCTCCTGAGTATCTAGGATTACAGGCATGAGCCACTGGTACCCCAAGGATATCCTTTTTAAAAATCATGTAATATAGACTGAACTGTGGCCTCTCAGTTTTCTTAATCAGGAAAGGTTCAAATTACTTGGTTAAAGTGAACAAGAAAACAAGCTCAATGCCAAGGACCCTATATCAACCTGAGGACCCATAGAACATACTGTTCTGACTCAGGGAAACACAGCCCAGCTGACTTATCTTTATGAGTAGCCATGAGTTTTTCATGCTGACCATAACAGAAAGGGAAAAACACTTGCCCCTTAAATCATAAATCACTTCTCAACAACTCTGTCTCTGGGGAGTTTTTCACTTAGGAATCATGAGTATTTTCCCTTGTCTTAGAAACCCATGAGAATAAACAAATAGCTATTTACCAAGCATGTGAAAACCCTGAGAAGAATGTGTACAGCTACAAAGTGGTATGAAAATACTTCACTTCTCTGCATGTCCTCTCTCCCCCTTTTTTAAATTGTAGAAATTCTACAACCAGGTCTCTACTCCCCTGCTCCGGAATGTTCAGTTCAACTACCCCTCCCCGCCCATCACTGATGTGACACAGAACAGTTTCCACAACTACTTTGGAGGTTCTGAAATTGTAGTGACGGGGAAATTTGAGCCAAATAAGTTGGAGCAACTACAGAGCATCATCACAGCTACTTCGGTACCTCTGCTTTTCTGCTTCTTCTGAAAATACTAACCGGCCCCTAGGATCCTGCATGTTAACAAGCCAATCCTCTGTGTGCCCCAAGTCCTATGTGTGCAGAATGGACCCCACAAGAGAGAAGGAATGAGAATATCTCTGCCATCTTCCTAACTCCTCTGTAAACTGTCACTTTTACACCCACCTCTCAGACTAGCCTCGGAGCTATGGCTTAATTCCCCAGAAAAACCTCTTCCCCGTCTCCTCCTCAAAGGATAGTGTTCTAAGTCACTCACAACTGGTACCAGAAATGTGAATTCAGGGCTGGTAAGGTGGCTTAGTGGTAGAGTGCTTGCCTTGCATGCCTGAGGCCCTGGGTTCGATTCCTCAGCACCACATAAGCAAAAAGAAAAAAAGCCAGAAGTGGCGCTGTGGCTCAAGTGGTAGAGTGCTAGCCTTGAGCTGAAGAGCTGATGGACAGCGTCCAGGCCCAGAGTTCAGGCCCCACGACCAGACCCCCCCCCAAAAAAATGTGAATTGATGAACTATAGTTCACCTTGATGTTCTTCCATGGAACCTTCCATCCTCCAGGCTAGCACAGACTTAGTCCTGGAAACCCTGGCCCAGATGGATGACTTGGAGGATTTTCTGTCGAAAGACAAGCATGCAGATCCCAACTTCACCAAGAAATTGTGGGCCTATCTCACAATCAATCAGCTGCTGGCAGAGAGGTAAGGAAGGAAAAGCAAATGTTCCTCTTGGATATTTGACATGAGACATGGAGAGTCTGGAACCCAGAGAGGCAGTGCTTAATGTAGGGTTTGCATTACTAATGTTCACTGCTTCCCAGAACTGCAGCTAAAACTGGGTTAACTCATTTAACCTGGATACAAGGTGTATGGGGCACATGAATTTTAAGTGTACAGTTTAATGGATGGTTGTGTATGTGTAGCCTATGCAGCCACACTTCAATCCAGACATAGAATCAGGGTCTTTTGCTCCCCTTCCTCTATTTCCAGTGGGAACCATTCTTCTGATGTCTGTCATCATCGGATAGTTTCACCTATACTAATTTTCACGTATTTCACTCAATATGGTGTCATGAGATTCATCCACATGACCGTGCATACTGGAAGTTCTTTTGCATTTATTCTTGAGAGAAGGTTACTGCCCAAATAGAAAATACAGTCATGTGATTCTGATGTCCCTTAAGGAAGGTCACCACTAGCTTCCAAGCAAGCTGCATCTCAGCTCTAACGTAAGAATTGCAACACTAGAGTCCACTTGCCTTGGAATTATATGGGGATGTTTGATAGAAATCACCATTCTCAAGCCCCACTCCACTTAAGAGATCAGAGTCTTGGGGAGATGGAGCAAGGTCATCTGAACTAGCTGGGAGGAAATGAGATACTATTGTATAGTCAGGCTCACAGAGAAAATCCCTGATGTCAAGAAGATTATAAGATATACACAGGGCTGTAAGCTGTGGCTTTGAAGTGTGTAGGACTATCTCTGCTCCTGGACAGAGGAACACTGGAAGTGTTTAAAAGCATAGCGCAAACTACTTCAGGAATTAAATATTGATTTTCTCAAAGCCCTCTGAAACGATCAGTGGCTTCCTGGAGCTCAGGAAAGTGGGTGATAAATAGGTGTAACATAATACTTTTAGGGTAGTGAAACTATGAGATACCACAGAGGTGGCTATTTGGCAACCTGCATTTGTCCAATCGCAGGAAACGTACAACTCCGAGAGGAACCCTGATGTAAGCTATTGGCTTGTGTGCTAATGCCCAAGCATCAGCTGTAACAAATGTGCCATGCTGGTGTGGGACACCCACAGTCAGGAAGCTGTGCATGGGGTATTTAGAAATTAGCTTAGAACCTTCTGCTCAATTTCACTGTGAACCTACATCTGCTGTGGCAGATATATAAAATATGTAACAGAATATATAAATATATATATAAATATATATTTATATATATATTTATATATATTTATATATATAAATTTATATATATATTTATATATAATATATAAATAGATATATAAATAGATATATAAAATATGTAACAGAATATACAATATGTAATTATATGTAACAGAGTATATTATATATTACATATATAATTATATAATAGCTCATTTATTATAGATATATAATATCTGTCATCCTAGCTATGTGGGAGGCTGAGATTCTGAGGATCAGAGTTCTAGGCAAGTCTGGGGAAAAAAATGATGAGATCCCATCTCAAAAAAAAATGAGCAAAAAGATCTGGGTGCATGGCTCAGCAGAAGAGCACCTAACAAACACAAAGCCCTGAGTTCTAACCCCAGTACTGCCATAATAATAATAATAATGATGATGATGATGATGATGATGATGATGATGATGATGATGATGACGAACCACCCCCTTGAGACTGCATAGCTAAATGAAATGCTGCTCTTCCTGAAGGCAGTTAGCTCTGGTTCCTTCTCACCTGCACTATTCCCTGCTCTCTAGCCGACTCCTGGGAGAACACTGGAAATGCACCTGATAAGTCCGACACCAGAGTTCACCTTGAATGTAATGATATTCTATTATGTCTTCCTTCCTGAATGCAGAAGCCTGGCTCCTACAGCTGCAGCCAAAAGGAAAATTACCAAAGCCATCCTGCAGATGTCTCTGGAACACCATATTGTGACGCCCCTCACGTCAATGGTGATTGAGAACGACGCTGGGGACGAGCGCATGCTGGCTGATGCCCCTCCTCAGGACCATTCCTGCTGCTCAGGTGGGCATGCTCAGGTGGGAGGAGCAACAGGCAACAGCACCGCGCTGCTTGCTGGCTGCTCCTTTTGCTCTTTCTCTCAACAGTACTGAAGCTTGAACTCAGGACCCCTTCCTTTGCTAGGCTGCTGCTCTACAGCTCAGCCGTGCCTCCATCTCTGTGTGTCCACGGTTACTTTTTTAGAATTGGGTCTCAGTGCCCTCCTGAGTTGTTCTTGAGCCAGACTCCATCCACTTTAAGCTTCAAGCGATTGATTGCTGGGATGACAGGTGCACACCACAGCCTCCAGCTCCACTGAGACAGGGTCTCGTGGACGTTTTTGCCTTGAACATTAATCCTCCCAACCTCAGCCTCCCAAGTAGCTAGTATTATAGACATGATCCACTGGTACCTTCCCGATGTTAGAGTCCTAGCACTTCTGCCCTCTCTCATCCCATACTATTGCTTGCCTCCACTTTGTCCTTGCAATCTACTTTGAGCATGCTTTATTACTTTGGTCTTTGCACACTTTTTTTTTGTTCACATATCTCCCAAGAGAATTTTGAAAACCCATGACCTCTCACATCATTCATTCATTCATTCATTTAAATGTATTTCCATACTCAGGTTTGAACTCAGAGCCTGATGTTTGCTAAGCAGGGCCCACAAAACTAATGGCTGCAAGCTCTTTCCATACAGGCGCCCTCTATTTTGGCAGCAAAGTCGCTTCAGCATCCATCCCATCGTGGGCCCAGCCCTCCCCAACACCAGTGATGGCCTTGCCTGCTGTAGGAGCCCGGCCGCTGGAGTCCACGCCCCCTCCGCATGTGATAAGAGGTAGGACAGCTTCATCACAACCTTCCCTCCTGTCCATCCATCAGAGAACCCTGTGTAAGTGAATAAAATCACCAGGTCCCAGGAAACAGAGTGGCTTTTACAGGCACCATTGCCTTCTGCTGGAAGATGATGGCTATATATTGGAGCTTGCTGGAGCTGTCATAAAAGACACCCCAGGCTGGGCATGTAAATAACAGGCATTCACACATCTCCATTTTGGCAGCTGGAGGTTCAAGGTCAAGATGCCAGGAGGGTGGTTTGTATTCTGAGATATCTTTGCTGGGCTTGGAGGCTGCCATCTCCCAATGTATCAAACCCTCCGTTCTTTTCTTTGTGCCTATTTCTTTTTCTAAGATAGTCTCAGATTTTTGCTTAGAGCTGATCTCAGACAGATCTCTATTTCCTGAGTAGCTGGGATTACAGGCTACATTACCAAGCCCAACCTGTATTTTTCATATATGTGTGTGTGCTTCTTATACCTTGTATCTTTCTTGTTCATTTTTTTACCTGTAGGATGTAGCCTAGAATGCATGTAACCTAGTATTAGCCACCAAGTAATTTCCCACTATATTTATGAAATGACATAAAACTCTGATAGATGATCCATAATAAAGGTACAGTGAGGGTATGAACTGAGTAAAGTAGCAATGAGGTGCTACTGGGGCCTCAATGCCTCAGAAGTACCCTGCATATAGAAACACACAATAAATATGTATTCTACTTGAGTTAAAGGTGTCCAGGAATAAAATAAAATAAAATGCTATCCAAAAATCACTTTCCTGGGGCTGGGAAGGTGGCTCAGAAGTAGAGCGCTTGCCTTGCATGCATGAGGCCCTGAGTTCGATTCCTCAGCACCACATAAGCAAAAAGAAAAAAGCTGGAAGTGGTGCTGTGGCTCAAGTGGTAGAGCGCTAGCCTTGAGCTGAAGAGCTGAGGGACAGTGCCCAGGCCCAGAGTTCAGGCCCCACGACCAGACCCCCCCAAAAAAAAACAAAAAAAAAACAAAAATCACTTTCCTGCTAAGTGTGGTGATATGTGTGTGTGTAAGAGAGGAGAGAGACAGACAGACAGACAGACAGACGAACAGACAGACAGAGACAGAGAGACAGAGAGAGAGACAGAAAGAGAGAGAGAGATCCCCTGCAATCCAGAGGCTGAGGCAGAAGGATTGGGAGTTCAAGGCCAGCCTGCGCTAGAGTCAGACCCTGTCTCAAAAGCAACAATAATAAATCACCTTCCTTCTTATAATTCTGGTTTTATTCATCTTATTTATGCATCTTCCAGTTGAAAATGATCCACATTTCATCATTTACCTGCCAAAAAGCCAAAAGAATATCTGTTTCAATATTGACTCTGAACCTGGGAAAATCCTCAACCTGGTCTCCGATCCAGAATCAGGTAAAGGAACTGAGCTATATTTGAATTAGATGATTAGATATTTGTCCTGCTTCACAATCTGTCACAACTGGAGTTTCTTTCTCACCTGAATAGAAATCCCATGTTTTTCACACTTTGGGAATTAGTGAGACATTAAATTGAATTATAAATATATTCTTATGTTTTGAACAACTATAGTTTAAAATATGTATTCTGAGCATGAACTAGCTTAGTAATGAAATAGATCAGCTCTAAAATGAGATTTATAAAGTAAAAATCCTGAAGCAATATAATAACAATTGTTTTCAAATTATTCAATCTTATCCATTTGAGCCATGGTTTCCCTACTTGCAAATAAATGGCAGGAGCCGGGCGCTGGTGGCTCACGCCTGTAATCCTAGCTACTCAGGAGGCTGAGATCTGAGGATCACGGTTCAAAGCCAGCCCGGGTAGGAGAGACTGTGAGACTCCTATCTCGAATAAACCACCAGAAAACCGGAAGTGGCGCTGTAGCTCAAGTGGTAGAGCACTCGCCTTGAGCTGAAGAGCTGAGGGACAGTGCCCAGGCCCAGAGTTCAAGCCCCACGACCGACAAAATAAATAAATAAATAAATGGCAGGAACCCAAGAGAGAAAAATATTTTTTTATTCACAGGAATTTTAGTCAATGGTCAGCTTATTGGTGCCAAGAAACCTGAGAATGGAAAACTAAGCAGCTATTTTGGAAAACTGGGATTTTATTTCCGAAGTGAGGACCTGAAAATAGAAGTCAGCACAGAGAACATCACTCTGAACCATGGCTCTCGGACATCTCGCTTGTCCTGGGCAGACACAGCCCACATTGCTCATCAGAGGCAAGTACTATTCTGCCAGTCCTGGACCCAGGGATACAGAAATAAGTCCATACAACAACTTCAAATGGAACTGCACATCATCATTTCAAACACAAGGAAATATAAGGTCAAAGACCTTTGGTTTGGGTCACTGTTTTGTCTCAGAGCTAGCTAGCCTAGTATAGAGCATACAGGAAGCACTCAATACATGTATGGGTGTTAGATCACTGAACAAATTCTTGTACTGAAATCTAGTAGCCAACTCCTTGTTGGAGGGTGTCCTCCAAACAGTATGATTGTGTCATCCTAGATAGGATCTGCTGATTGGTTGCTGATTACAGGCATGCAAATTAGCAGGACTTTAGAGCTGGGAACTGAAATAGCAACATTCCATAGCAAAAGCAAGGTGAGGCTCCAGGAAAACCAGTGGCATTGTAGTGATGGAGCCAGTCATGATCATGGAAGGGAGAAGTCTGCCCTAGAATCATTTAGTTCCATGTTGACTTTCTTTCACACTAGGGTGCTTGTCTCAGTGAAGAAACAAAAAGTGGTGACTCTCACCCTGGGTAGTGACATGTCCTTTTCCATTCTGCTGCACCGAGTTTGGAAGAAGCATCCGGTCAATGTAGACTTTCTGGGGATCTATATCCCACCCACAAACAAGTTCTCACCCAGTGTGCATGGACTGATCGGTAAAGTATCTCCACTCTCTGGTCAGGTGTGGGCCATTCTAGGTCACCAGTGACTTGGGTGAGTGGAAAGTAGAGGAGCCAACACAGCAATAGCAGCACAGCGATTACAGGAACTACCTGCCCTTCTAGACTTCCTATGAAGGCCATCCCTTCCTACTGATGCTCCTTTTACCTCTAATTTCTACCCTGGAAATTCTGGGGCCAAATGTCACCTGGATCTCAGGATGAGACTTTTTTTTTTTTTTTGACCTGGGGTTACCTGCTATTAAGTGTCTGGGTTTCATTTTTCTAGGTCAGTTCATGCATGAGCCAAAGATACATATTTTTAATGAGAGACCAGGAAAGGATCCCAAGAAGCCAGAAGCAAGCATGGAAGTAAAAGGCCAGAAGCTGACTGTCACCAGGTAGGCCTTGGGTGCCAATACCAGTAGCAAAACAGGTCTCTGGAGGACTGGACTTGCACCAGCAAAACAATAGATTTGTGAGCTAAGACAGTGGATTCGTAGTGAGTTAACATCGCAGTGGAACTACTGAGACAACAGTGGGTTACCAATAGCCACCGATGAGTGGGAAGAAGAGGGGGGGCATCATCCTGAATTCTGTCAAGTGTGGTAAAGAGCATCTCTTATAATAAATACGGCAAGTGCTAGCTCTCCATCTACCTCTTACAAGCACTTCAGAGTATACCAGAACTTGAAGGTGGGTTCATTCAGGGCAGGCTGTGTGTCATATGCCTTCTCAAATCCTTCAAGTGGAGACCACGAATCTACTCAGAAGTAGCTGGCACTGCCCTTAAATAGCTAAGACATGCATTCAGAAGGCGAAGGCAAGAGTCTCAGGTTCATCCTTCAAGTGCCATACAAGGTTTGCTACACGATTTTGGAGTTCTATTCCTACCTACTTTCTACTTGTTCTTGCTGGAACTATCCATATGGGTCAACTTCTATGGAGGTTATTTGAATTATCTGAGGACACACGGCTAGCTACGAGCTAGCACACTCTGTGAGTCAATGGTTCATGCCTGTAATCCGAGCTGCTCAGGAGGCTGAGATCTGAGGATCATACTTTAAAGCCAGCCTGGACAGAAAGTCTGTGAGACTCATGTCTCCAATTAACCAGGAAAAAAAAAACTGAAAGGAGAAATAATGGCTTAGGTGGTAGAGTGCTAGCCTTGAGTGGGAAAAACTCATAGATAGATAGCACCAAGGCTCTAAGTTCAAGACCCAGGACCAACACAAATGAAAACAAAATTTTTTTAAAGGGCATACTGATTATTTTCTGCCCTTTCCCACCAAGCCCCAGACTCTTAACATCTCTCCTGACGTGGAAAGCAGGAAAAGGCAGGAGATGAGCAGGGATGGTAATAAGAGGGGCCACAAACAGCAAGGAAAAGCAGGTGTCTGGCTCTGCCCACTAGCCAGTTGTGGTCTGAACTCTAACCATGCACATCTTTCCTCTCACAGAGGTTTACAGAAAGACTACAGAACAGACATCGTTTTTGGAACAGATGTTCCCTGCTGGTTCGTGCACAACAGCGGCAAAGGTTTCATTGATGGACATTACAAAGATTACTTCGTGCCTCAGCTCTACAGCTTTCTCAAACGGCCTTGAACATTTTTCATCTTGAACATTGTCTGTATACATGTACAGTTTTTTTCCCTTGTCACTTTTGCAGCCATTCCTTGGTTTGAATGACAAAACAAGTCCAGGTATCATGGTTGCTTGGAAAGCCTGTTAACGCCTCCGAATAAACCTTTTGCAAAGAAGGTTAGTCTTCTGTTGTGTTTTCAGATGCCAGTGTGTATTAGATGCAAAGGGAAGTGGCTTTCGTGAGTCAAACTGTCATCCAGGGTCATAGCTCACTGCTGCTGTTAGATTCTCAGCGTGGTTGAGTAAGTTACTCAGGAAGGTTAATTAAGAGGTTATAGGAACACAGAAAATGAATAAGGAGTCCTACTTGATCTTAATTTCTTTGTAACTGAGATTGATTGCTTCATTGATTGATTTTCCTTTCATTTATTTAGCTTGCTTGTTCAGCTGGTGCTCTATCACTTGAACCATGACTCCAGAAGAGCTTGTTGCTAGTTATTTTGGAGCTGGAGTCTTGAAACCGAATATCTCTGGCTTTCTCTGTTGGCTCCATTTTCAGTCACTGTTACATGAGTTAAGATGGTTTCCCACCATCTTCAGTCTTATCTGTTACGTTAGACTGCCAGCAAAAAAGACACTATCTTCTATAGTTCACAAAAGGCCTAGGGTTGAGTGTTATTGGACCACATCTGGGCAAATCACTCCAAAGAAAGTAATTGAACCAGCCTGACACAGGTTGCCGGCTAACCCCTGTGATGTCTTCTTGAACTAAGAGTGGAGGTGGCTGACAGCTTTCATTCAAAGGCGGGAGACTGTACACTAGTAGTGAAAACGCAAGAGGCAGGGTAAGGAATCCTACCAAGATGTCAGCAGCTTCCCATAAAATACTGAGGGATGGATTAAAGCCTTTGTCAAATAGCTTGGTGGCATAGTTTCATGGGCAAACAACTGGACCTTGGAGTTGGGTCGACTTTTAAGTTGAATGCTGGCTGTCCTCTGTACTAGTTATATAATTTAGAATGTTAGTGTTGAGTTAATAATATAGTAATTAATATATAATAAAATAATAAATTCCATAATTATGTAATTTCAGAATTGATGTGAGAGCTGCAGAAAATACATAATGTACAAAAATCCTAAAATCAAGCACATAATTGGTAGTTAACATCAGAGAGAAGTGTAACTAAACAGGTTAACATCTGAAACCTGACTTGCTAGAAATCTGGCCTGAATAATTTCGGCGAAGAGATGATGTGACCAATTACATATAACTCCCTAATTCTGTAAACTCAAAATCAACTGTGATTTACTTCATTGGAAAATGCTCCATCTCTACCTTTTAACATTTCTTTTCATCAATATCTTCCTGAAATCATCTCTGAATGAAATAAAGCAGTGTATTCAGGTTCAGTTCAATAAAATTTTGTTTTAAAGCACAAAAATAGGATCCTGAGCTATATTTTTTTCTGTATGTTTTGTGCTAACCAACATGACACTAAGACCTAAATTCAGTACTTTATGAAGCATCCTGAGCTATTCTTTTAAAAACAAATGGAGGGCTGAGAAGGTGGGTCAGTAGTAGAGTGCTTGCCTCCCATGCATGAAGTCCTGGGTTCAATTTCTTAGCACCACATAAACAGTGCCAGAAAAGGCACTGTGGCTCAAGTGGTAGAGTGCTAGCCTTGAGCTGATATCATGATAATGCTGTGTACACTGAAGTCCTGCTGCACTCCCTTGTGGTTAGTTATGTGACTTACAAATGTCCCTGGTTGGTAGGCTTAGATAGATATAATCAAGTGTGAGGTATATTTCCTGTTTTTATATCTAAATATTACACTGCTCTACTTCAATATAGAACTATATAGTTCAGAATTGTTGGCATGATGAAGCTGCTTTGTAAAACAGTTCAGCAGTTCCTCAAAGTATTACACATGATGAGTTACACAGGACTCTGTAAAATCTGATGTGTAATTGTTATGAGCACCATTCATAGTAGCTAAAAAGTAGCTACAGCCAAAATGCCCACCAACTGATAGATAAACAACACAGGATGTCCACACAATGGAATAGTGTTCGGTAATAAAAGAAATGAAGTACCCCTAAATTACATAACATGGATAAGTCTCAAAGATATTATAACACAAAGTTTAAGACACCTCACATAGAAGACATTGTATTTTTCCATTTATATAAAATGCACAGAATAGTTAAGTCTATACAGACACAAAGTATACTAATGGTTGTCAGGGGCTGGGATAGGTTGGGAAAAAATAGATTGTTTACAGGGTTTCTTACTGAGGTGACTAAAAATACACTGCCCCCCCCTCAATTAAGATAGTAGATATGGTTGCACAACTCTAAATATATTGGAAACTACTTATACTTTAAATGGTGAATTGTGTGAAATGTGAATTACATCACAATAAAACTATTATATTTATAGCTTGGCTTGAAAACTTTTCATTATAATTCAACTTTGCTATTTTGCTACTAAAATATACTTAGAAGTATCCAATCATATGATTCTAAACTGTTATATAAAACACTTTACAATATTCTTTAATGAAGATAGAAAATCATCAAGGAACTATTACAAAAAAAAGCAACAAGGACAAAATTTACAGTTTTGTTACTTCAGGAGACATAATTAAATTTTTCTATAACTTTACACAAATATACAGTAATATTTAAATAAAACCATTTGTTTTATACAAAAGAAATACCCTAACACAGTAGAGTCTCACAATGCTTTGGCAAACATCAATTTGATGCTTTAGAGTTATTTTAATGTATTGTTAACAAATTTTTCAATCAGGCAAGTTTAGATATGTCTTCATATTGAATTCCTTCAACTCTCCGTCCTTTTAAAGGCCCCTAGAAATTCAAATAATTGAAGAAAATGTTAAAAAGACAAATGTACTTAAAAGACAAAAACATGAGACCACACTATCAATGCAAATGGTTCTTTTCTATATCTCTAAAACATCTCTAAACCTATGCATTTGAAAAATCAATGGTATTACAATGAAAAGTCACCATGTTTTCTCCAGTGATGTTTGAAATGTGTTATTAGTAGGTTGTATGGCAGGTTGTATGGGAGCTATTCAGTATGTGTTCAGCTTCTTGGATAAAGGGCTACGGTTTCTGAATTCTACTGTGACTAGGGAAGCTAATGGCCATAGCTGGAGCTCCTGCCCATGGGAAGCCTATATAAGACATGGCTTGGCCATGTTGATCTCCTGGTACAATTTGCCATGATCTTCTGTAACCCGCCCATCTCACATGACAACTGAACAAGCCTCTTGTTGAAGATGGTTGAGCCCCAGTTGGGAGGATCCTGATGTACAAGTCACCAATGTTCCCTGATAAAGAAAACCCATGTTGAACTTTTACAATGCCATTATCTACTTGGAGATTTCTTTTTTTAGAACATCACCATAAGCAATCCAGATAATCGATAACTTGTCTTCCAGTTTAGTGATGATTTGGGGGGCTGGTCAATATTACATAAAATGGGTTTAACTTTAAATATATTTTCTTCCTCCCTTCACATCCAACAAAAAGGCAAAGGGGAAATCTTTAGAATAAGATGCAACCCAGCAGCACTGAGGCTAATATACACTGCTGGAGTTTCACTCCCACCACCAGCAGGTGGCCTTTAAGGTTTTCCCATTCAGTTCTCTTTCCCGGTGTCCCCATTGTGAGATAACAGTGCCTACATTATAGAACTGTTAGAAAACAGAACACGTGTGAGCATGAGCTCAAGAATTTTCAACTGGTTATTAAATCTCTTGATTACGATTTGAAAGTAGATCCTTACAAAGTATAAGAGAATACTGATGAAAATGGCAATGGTGATGATGACAGATGACTCTAGCTGTGGAATGAGAATCAGAATTTCCCTTAAAACTGTTGCTCTTTTCTTAAGGAACTAAGTTTCCAGATAAACTGTGACCTGGAAGTGGCACTGTGGCTCAAGTGGTAAAGAGCTCTCCTTGAGCTGAAGAGCTGAGGGACAGTGCCTAGGCCCAGAGTTCAAGCCCCATGACTGACAATAAAACAAAAAACAGATAAACTGTGACCAAAATTGAAATTTTCATTATTGTGTCTAAAGGTCTTCAGTCCATTATGCCTTTTTAACAAATCTGAATAAAAAGGCAGCCAGACATTTGGGTTCATTAGACTAACAGCTAAAAAGCTAAGCCTGCTTAGGGTCAATGTTCAGGCGATGAAAAATCTGCCATTAGGGGTCACTCTCATACTAGAGGTGACCCACTTTCGGTCTATTCAAAGTGAATTCCTTTTTTAATGCACTTTCCTATCACTTTTATTACATTTTACACTTGCCTACATTCTTCTCTTGCTGGAGTTGAGGATTGACTCTCCAGTAAGACATCCAATTTCAAAGGAACTTCCTGAATGACCATTAATGTGTGAGCAAAAAAACCCTGGTTCTCAGGCTGGGAAGGTGGCTCAGTGGTAGAGCGCTTGCCTTGCATGCATAAGGCCCTGGGTTCAATTCCTCAGCACCATGTAAGCAGAAAAAGCGGGAAGTAGCGCTGTGGCTCAAGTGGTAGAGCGCTAGCCTTGAGCTGACGAGCTGAGGGACAGTGCCCAGGCCCAGAGTTTAGGCCCGACAACTGACAAAAAACAAACAAACAAACAAACAAAAAAAAGAACAAAAAAACCAGGATCTCTTTTCTCTTTTATAGCCACTTCTAGATGGAGGACTCTAGACTGGGCAACATTCACTGTTAATGTAACCATTTATGTACAGAAACCACCAGGAATCTCAACTGACAAGCCCCCATTACTATAAAAGAGGCAAGCAGCCAGACCTGGGGAACTCCTGGGTTTGGGCTTAGGATCTAAAGACACTGGTTTCAGTTCTGGCAAGCCATACAGAAGGAAATGTACCCTTTAGGCATTCTCCACTTGAAGACAGTTGATTTTGAATGGAGAGAAAAGATGGAATTGGTTCCCCACAGCTGTTGAAATTATTTTTACTTTTGGGCTGGGAAGGTGGCTCAGTGGTAGAGCGCTTGCCTTGCATGCATGAGGCCCTGGGTTCGATTCCTCAGCACCACATAAGCAAAAAGAAAAAAGCCATAAGTGGCACTGTGGCTCAAGTGATAGAGCTCTAGCCTTGAGCTGAAGAGTTGAGGGACAGCGTCCAGACTCAGAATTCAAGCCCCACAACTGACAAAAAAAATGAAAAATTTGTTTTTCACTTTTATGCCAAATATTTCCACTTGGAACAGCATCAATTTTTGTTTTTTAAAACCACTGTTCAATGGGCTGGGAATATGGCTTAGTGGCAGAGTGCTTACCTAGCATGCATGAAGTACTGGGCTTACTTCCTCAGTATCACATACACAGAAAAAGCCAAAAGTGGTGCTGTGCCTCAAAGTGTAGAGTGCTAGCCTTGAGCAAAAGAAGCTCAGAGACAGTGCTCAGGCCCTGAGTTCAAGCCCTAGGATTAAAAAAAAAGAAAAAGAAAAAACAAAACAAAACACTGCGCAAGCTGGGCACTGCTGACTTATGCCTGTAATCCTAGCTACTCAAGAGGCTAGATCTGAGAATTGTAGTTCAAAACCAGCAAAGGCAGGAAAGTCTATGAGACTCTTATTTCCAATTAACTACCAAAAAGCCAGAAGTGGAGCTGGGACTCAGCTGTGAGCGCAAAAGCTCAGGAACAGCAACTCAGCCCTGAGTTCAAGTACTAGGACTGGCACCAAAACAAAACAACCAAATAAGAACAAAAAAAAAACTTTTTTTAAACCCCACTGTTCAGTGGAACAGTGGATTTAAGAGGCCTTCTGAGTAGAATCCCTTCAAGTCCTGTTTAATAATGCACACTGGACACTTGTTTTCATAGTATTTAAAATACTGTGGCGATTGTCTTATTTCTTTTGAACTCTTCCTACCTGTTATGGGCTTAGACCATTTGCTTTTAGACAAAAAAAAAAAACCCTTTAATTCTAAAGGCCCAAATAGTAAAGAGGGATGCAAGGCATGGAAACTGGATGTGGAGTCCCTCAAATAAGAACCTAAATGGCTTTTCTAAAAACTCTTTGAGATACATATCTTTTAACAGGCCTACCGGCTTAATGGGCCTATGGATAACCAAGAGAACACATAAAATTTCTGGAATGATTATAAACTTCTATTAGGTTGTCTTAAGAGGTATATTATCCTCAGAATACTAAAACTTAGAATACTGAAGATGACAAACTCTTGTTTACAGATGAAAGTATCCTGTGCAACAACAGTGCAGAGCTCTAAGAGCCTTTCCTTCAGATGATATCTGGGCCCCACTCAGACCCTTGTCAGTGATCTCTGATAAGAATGTGATTGCTACAGCAGAGTTCCTGACATTACTGTACTGATGTATGGTACCTTAAATTCTCTATGAAAGGGGGAGGGGTCTGACCCTTAAAAACATGGTTGACCACTACAGCAGCTTCCCTATCAACTTTGTCTATAGTCTCTCCACTAATTTTAGTATTCCACATCAAAATTTATATTATATGAGAGAAAAAAATTTAGTACATAAAACTGTTCATTGTGTACACAATTTTATAAAATATGAAGACTGAAAAGTAACAGACACAATGAACACAATGAATACTGATTGCACAGTAATGAATATTCTTTGGTAATGAAAAGATAAAATGCTTCATTCAAAGGCACAACCACTCAAGAAAATAGGCTTATAAATATTTTCAGTGGAGTTTGAACTTAGTGCCTTGTGCTTGCTAATGTAATAAGCATTTTACCACTTGAGCCTCCCTCCAAGCCCTGTGTATAGATATCTAAATGGGAGGGAAGGTAAACAAGAACCCCAGATTCTAAAACAAAGACCATTACAATTAAAAAGCAGTAGAGTGCGTTTTGAACCTTTGCCTTGTGTGAACATACTTACAGTCTCGATGGTGATGGTGGCTGAGAAGGTCTTCTCATTGATGGATTCCAGCGTGGCTTCATTGCCTCTGTAGCCTCCATTTAAAACTAGAATTCTTTTTCCTATGATGGGGAATGAATGTAAAAGTTAACACAAAGAAAACAGCTAGGTTTTTCTTGTCAGGGCAAAATACATCACACTGAATAAACACAAACTCAAAACTCTTCTCTTAGAAGTTCTCAATCATGTAAGAATTGCAAACTTTGAAAAGAGTTTGACTATAGTAACATTATAATATTCCTCATTCTTCCCATTCATTTGTTAAAGAGATATATTTTAATTTTAGATTATATAAAGTATTCTGAAAAAATGGTAAAGTCAGAAGTAATCAGAATAAATTTAGTTTACTTTGTCTTTTCTAATTCCTTAAATAGTTTGGCAGTTTCATAAAAATGTAAACTTATGCCTACCATACAACTGGGCTATTTAAAGCATTTACTCAAGAGAAAAGAAATCATATTCACGAATACACAAACATGAATGTGCACAGCAGTTTTATCTGCACCTGTCAAAAACTACAAATTATCTAAATGTCTATCAACAACTGACTTGGCCAATCTGTAATCTACCTATGCAATGGCATACTATTCAGCAACACAAAAGAATGAACTATAGTTATACAACAGGCTCACTCTCCTCCCTAAGAAAAAGACTATAAAAGCTCTGAAAAATATGAACTAAACTGGAGTGACAAAAAAACAGATCTGGAGTTGCCTGGAAAGAGAAGGAAGGATGAAGTTGAGGGCAGAGGATTAGAATAGGAAATGAAGGGCCATATTCATTATCTTGACCACAGGATGGTTTCAGAGTAGTCAAATGTTAAAATGGGTCAAACTGCATTTTTTATATATGTGCCATATACACTATACACTGATAATATATCAATAAAGGTGATGAAAAATGTTCTTATCTGTGAGTTATTTTAAGAGGGAAAAAAGATGAGGAATAGGACAAATAAACTAATAAAGACAGTCGCCAAGGCTCACATCATAAATGCCAGCAATAACACACAGAAGAATATTCTGAAATCAGAGGCTAACAATGCAAACCAAAATATATAGATGTGGATAAGAACCCAAAGGAATATACATAGACAGACAGACTTTAACTGGTAGCTAAAAATGTTAATAACATACCTAATATGATTGATTTTTGTCCATGTTTTGCTTTAGAAGAAACAAACTGCAGGAAGGAAAATTCACTCATGCCTTCAAATGGCTTGCTCAGAGGGGTGATAAAGTATTAAGCCACCTGAAGTTGGTTAAATGGTATAGGTTATGCTGGCAGTTAATGTTTCTAAATGGAAACATGCCCCTAACTATCCAATAATGTCAAAAGGCAGGTATGGTTTCCAGAATAGAACTGATCATTTTCATAACATACGTATTAGACTGTTGGTCTGCAAACAGATTTACCTGGTGCCGGAATTACTGTCTCTAAATGAGTCTGGTCAAGTTTCAGCTTATCTCCAGAATCAATCATCTTTACAACAGCTGTATACTTGTCAATTACTTCCTGTTGTGTAAAATGAACACTTTTGTAAAAACTAGGTAAAAAGGAATAAAATAAAAACAAATGAAATTGCAATTGAATGAGTCATCTTCTATAAATAATGCGATTTTCCAGATTATTATGCTTGATTTCTCAGCCCATGGTGCTTAATAAAGAACTCATTTCAAAGCTTAGTTGATGTTTTCATCTGGAAAGAATAAGAGACTGATGATCTTAGAATAAGACTTAGAGTAAGTACAGAAGAAGGGCCACGCACAAATACACAAGGCTGGGTGCTGGGATCAAGCTATATTCAGGGAATATGAAAAAGCAGAAAAAGACAGAAATTTCAAAACTCTATGGCAGTCAATAGATTGTTTCCCAAGCAATATAAAAGGAAGTCCTCTGGGGCTGGGAAGGTGGCTCAGTGGTAGAGCGCCTGTCTTGCATCCATGAGGCCCTGGGTTCAATTCCTCAGCACCACATAAGCAAAAAGAAAAAAGCCGGAAGTGGCGCTGTGGCTCAAGTGGTAGAATGCTAGCCTTGAGCTGAAGAGCTCAGGGACAGGTCCCAGGCCCAGAATTCAGGCCCCACAACCGGACCCCCCCCCCCAGCCCCCAAAAAAAGAAAGTCCTCATGAGATCTCTAGACTGTAAGTATAGTGCCTATCATTAGCAAGACAATACATTTAACTGATAATTAGCAAAGCTTTCACATTGAGTTTTAAATCAAGACTGATGGGGTTTCATATATCCTGTCTGATCCATTAAGAAAACAGACCAAGGTGAACTGAAAAGAGAGTATGTTTCCAAAAGTTGTGAACTTAGATTTCATTTCATGTAATTTTTAGAAACATAGACCCAATACTTCTGCTATAAGGATTTGATTTCTAATAGTTTCACTTGGTCACCCATCAGCTTTTCTTTTCTTTCTTTTTTTTTTACGAATTCTCAGCTGGGTGATGGTGGCTCATGCCTATAATCCTAGCTACTAGTAGACTGAGATCTGGTGATTATGGTTTGAAGCCAGCCTGGGCAGACAAAACAATATTCTTATTTTCAATTAACCAGCAAAGAGCTGAAACTGGAAGCATAGCTCAAGTTATATTGTGCAAGCTATAAGTAAAAGTTCCTGGGTTCAAGCCCCAGTACCATCACACATACAGACACACAGACACATACACATTCTCCCTACCTTAACAATAGCCTTTTTCTTATGATATTTATCTCCAAGTTTTTTGGTTATAATCTTTACAATGATTTCCTAGAAAAGAACAGCAAAAAGTAAAGATGAAGGAAAAGTCTCAAATTTTGTTTACTCCATACTTTTAAGTCACATTCAATAAAAGCATAGTAAAATGGAACTCTTCTGCTAAATAATAATTTAGAAATTACAGTTCTAACTCTTCCCAATAAAGGCTAAACATTGTGTTAGTAATTCTTTATTTCCTTTTCCTCTTTTTTATTCAACATAGTTACCCAAAGGGAAAACAAAACAAACTGGCTGGTTTTCACAGTGAAGGTTTCTTGAGAGCAGGGACTTTATCTGGGAATCTCAACTCTGTCAGTTCACATAATTCATCATCAGCTTCTTTCTTTCTCTCAAAGTGTGTGTGTGTGTGTGTGTGTGTGTGTGTGTGTGTGTGTATTGAAGCTGAAACTCAGGCCTCACACTCTCACTTGGCTTTACCATTCACAGCTAATGAATGCTCTACCACATGAACCATGCCTCCAGTCTCATATTTTCTTGGCCAACTAGACAGTCTCCTAGACTTTTATGCCCAGATTGGCTTTGAACTGTGCTCAGATTTCAGCCTCTTGAGAAGTTAGCATTACAGGTATAGGCCACTGGCACTGGCTTTCACAAGGTTTGTCATCAGGCTGAATTTTTCTTCATTAGGCTGATTTAAAAAAAAAAACAACAAAAAAAGTAAACAGGATCCCTCTAGATCCGCTCTAGCTGAAAGTATCAATCTGGTGAGCATGTCTTTGGAAACAGGAGAAATCCAGGCTTACTTCATACTAGTTCCACTGCTCTCATTCTTTTTGTGATTTGGATCAGGCAATTAATTTGCTTGATGCATGGCTACATTCACTGCAGGGATTCTATAATTGCCATTTCAAGTAAATAGAAGAAATGGTCACAAGCACTTCCTAAAGGTGTACCAAAACCTGATAAAAACAAATTATTAAGAACTATAAGGAGATAATTAGACTACTGATGACAAAACACCCTATCTGAGTTAGGCCATAAAATATCTAGGCTAAATTTCTCCTAAGTTCTTACAGTTTTATACTATAGTAATTTAAGACAATTATATTTGCAAAAAAAAAATAGATCTGTTCAAAATGTTTCTTTTGCTAAGTTGAAAAAATAAAGTCTTTCAAATATATCTCTATAGTCGGCTGGGTATTTCAATAAACTTTACTACCCATCAAATAAGAGACACATTGAACCACTAATGCAGTGTTGGCTACTTGGCACTTTTAACATAATTCTAAGAGAAACTATGAAAAATATGAATTTTTTGTAAGAGAAAATTACCAAGTAAGCAATAAAGTTTAACTGAAAGTATGCTCAATGAAAAGAGAATTTGGAGGGGACCAATAAAAATTTGAAATTATATGTGTATGTATATATGTATATATAAATATACATATACATATGTATCTTCATGTTGGTTTTCCTTTTACTTTACATCAATTGTTCTTAGTAAGGGTATACATCAGAACTTGGAAGGTGAGTAAAACAATCTGCCTTTCACACTAGGAGATTGGATGGAAGTAGTACTAAAGCATATGTATTTTAAAAATAACTCTCAAGGGCAAGCTTAAGTGATAATAACAGCTATATCAGAGGTTGAGATCAGAAGGACTGCAATTCCATGAACCTAGGCAGAAAAATCTTAAGACTTCATCTCAACAGAGGAAAACTGAATTGACTTGTATGTGCCTGTTAAACTGGGAAGCCTAAAACAGGAATATTACAATCTAGTTTCAATCTAGAGAATGAGACTTTATCTCAAAAACAAGTGAAAAACAAGGCTGGAGGCATGGCTCAGCAGTAGAGCACTGTCTAGCAAGTGCAAGGCTAAATTCAAACCCTAATACTGCTCCCCTCAATGAGAAAATTTGATGAAGCAAAAAATCCCAGAGGTAAGACATTTATGAATAAAAAAATCATGTCATTATGAATGTAGTATATAGAGCTACATATCAAATATATACATAGTTTCAAGTTATTATTCTAAAATAAGCAATTAAAAACAAGCCTCCCTTGTCTTGTCAAATTAAAGTCTGTTTTTTTTCCTACAAAGTACTTAAAAGTATGACTTAAAGACTATACATTTCAGCATTTACAACGGTATACTTTAATCCCATTTCTGAAAATACATCATTTCCGTCCTATAACAACAACAACAAAATCTGCAACTAATTCCAGGCTCAAATTCCCGGTGACCATAAACAAATTCAGCACTAAACTAAAGGAACACCACTGATCTATGAACACAAAAGAACTCTCCAACATAGTTGCACCCAATAATTAATTAAAGTTCAGTAGAAAGTCACTACAAATGATAACTAACTCCATTTACAAATTTTACATATATTTAGGAAATTTAGTTATACCAAAGGTGGCTACATCATTCACTGAATGCAAATGTAGGAGGTAAAAGGTACAGTCGAACACGTACGGGCTGCAGCCAGTGGTCAGTTCGGGATGTTCTTTTCTTTTCCTCTTCGATCTACAGAACACACAAGATATCCTGAAAATATTCTCCTTAGAATCCTGTTTATTTCAAAATACTATTCTATTAGCAAAATGACACTATGCAATTCATATTTCACCAATGATAAGGTTTATAAGCTCTAATAAATTTTTTAAGCATTATTTTAATTAACTTGTTTGTTTGCTTGTTTTTGAGACAGTCTTGCTATGGAGTCTGGTGTAGCTTGGAGCTTGCTATGTAGACCACACTAAATGCAAACGTGAAATTTTCCTGCCTTTACTTCCTGAGTGTTAGGCATGTACCACCACCACTTAGAGAGGTGTTAATTCATTTTGAAATAAGAAAATGGGTCATTGGATTTAAAAAAACCAAAAAAAAACCAAAACAATATGTGATAAGGCCAGCTAGCTGACCAAAACACAAAAACCACTTAGGCTGCTCAATACTGAAAGCCATCTGCCAATCCCACAGCACCCTCCTTGCATTTTCCCCATCCTCTGTGACTGTCACAAGCTGGAAATGTGTAAATTATTTTTCGTGTGGTGAAAATATAGACAATTTAGCATGGCATGGCTGGGGATACAGTCTGAAAGCAAGAGAAGGCATTGAGAATAAAAGCTCAGAAGTCAAATAGAAGTCAATCACAACCAAGAGAGATGTAACTAAGAGAGACAAAAGGAGAAAGTGCTGTCTATTATGGCTATATACCATGCCTTTTTCATTCCCAACTGCTTCAAACTAACCTTAAACACAACTCTGAATGGGATCCAATAATGTCATTCTAATCCTTGTTTTAAAATTCTCCAACAGCAAGGAACTAGTAGCTCATACCTACTAGTAGCTCATACCTACTGAGTAGATAATCCTATCTACTCAGGAGGCTGAGATCTCAGCATTGAAGTTCAAAGTCAGCCCAGGCAAGAAAGTCTGAGACTCTTATTTCCAATTAAACACCAAAATGCTACAGTGGAGCTTTGGCTCAAGTGATAGAACACCAGCCTTGAGCATAAAAGCTCAGAGAATGTTCAGGGCCTGAGTTCAAGCTCCAGGATAGGCACAGAGCACCTGTGTAGCATGCACAAGGCTTTGGTTCAATCACACCAGTTTCACAGAAAAAAAGAATCTTTTGGATAAGATGGCCCTAAATCTACAAAATACATGGTCAATGACCCATCACATATATAAAGCATTAGGTAAAATAAAAATAAAAGCATGTCTCAACTGGCTAGGAGGTGATACTTGGGTGTCAGGGCACCAGGAGGTACAAATGTTAGCGGGAGGACCACCAGAAGAGTTCAATCTGAAATACCACTGAAGTCCTAATCAAATACTAACATAACTGTTTGGAGAGTTTCAAAGTTAGCTCTAGAGACAAGAGAATAAACACATGGGGAGTGGGGGAGGGCAGCATGATGCTCTAATTAGCTCAGACAAACAAGGCTTCTTTTCCCTCAACACAAAGAAAAATTTCCCTAACTTTATAGTAATGTGGTAAGTGGTGTAACTTTTCCTCTGACTTGAGTTACATTTTTCCACTAATTGTTCGCATGTATGGATGTAGCTCATATGGTATCATACCTCCATGATTTCATCCAGTGCAGATTTCTTTTTCTTCTTTTCTTTAGCCTGCGCTGAGCTCTGGGAAGAGTCTTTTCGCTTTACCGACGCTGCACTCCCTAACGTTTTCAGGGCACTTGGCCCCAAGGAACTGGGAATGGAACAGAACCGTGATTGCTATAAGCAATGTAGTTTACACACATGTACAACCTACAGTAGAACATAAATGCAGCCAAAATAAAGGATGTGCCTCCATCTTCTGTATAACAGCACACGAGGACATTCAGCTGGCCTGCCTTCGCTCCCCTTATATCCTCTGTGGCTAATTTAGTACATGCAATATGCACCATATGCAATATGGTGGGGACACAGGCTTCAGCATTTGGGAGATGAGGGTTTGCAGCTACTCATGAGGAACATTAGACACTCATTTAATCTTTACATTCTCCTCTGTATATGGTTTTTGATAATATCCTAGGGACACAGTTCAGGGGCAGAGCACTTGTGTAACATGCACAAAGCTTTCGTTCAATCACACCAATATCACAAAAAAAGAAAAAGAAAAAAGAATCTGGGAGGGGAATGTGGCTTAGTGGTAGAGTGCTCACATAGCATGCATGAAGCCCTGGGTTCAATTCTTCAGTACCACATAAAGAGAAAGAAGTGGTGTTATGGGTCGAGTGGTAGAGTGCTAGCCTTGGGCAAAAGAAGCTCAGGGACAGTGGCCAGGCCCTGAGTTCAAGCTCCATGACTGGCAAAAAACAAAAAAACAAAAAAACTTTTGGATAGGATGGCCCAACTCAGCTTGATTCCAAGAATCAGATGAGAGGTTTTAAAACAATTACTAACACCGTACTGACAGTGGTTTTAAAGTGAAGTTCACCATGTCACTTAACTGCTTTATATTGGTCCTAAGTGTCTAGAGTTTGATAGTGTACATTTAAAATTCTCTAATGCTGGCACATGGCGTCCCCAGAATGCCACTCTAATCACTACAGTTGAAAAAAAGGTTTGCTGCACTTCAACTGTAGCAACCACCATCTCCCAGACTTGCACAGCTGTATGATTTCTAGCTGCAACTCACCTGGATTTGGAAGATGTCCCTGCTGAACTGCATGCTCCTTTATTCAGATTAAATGTAACTAGAGGGAAAAAAAAGTTATTCCATATATATATATATATATATATATATACACATATGTATATTTATTTATTTATTGGTACACACATAGATGCTTATTTAAGAAAACTTATAAAATAAAACTTCTTAAAGATTTCATAGACTTCACAAACTTTGTTTTTGAGATAGGCTCACTATGCAGCCAACACTGTCCTTCACATTCACAGGCATGCGCCCCGTGCCTAGCCTTAGTCACAAACATTTTTGATCAATGAGGCTAAAAATATTCCTGCAAAATATCCTCGGCTGATACTTGTAGAGTGGGGTAGGACCTTATCCATTATGTCGCTCTAGCAGTCAGTACTGGCTGCTTTGACATCCTGCCCTCCTCTTCCATTCTTACTAGTACGCCAACTTGGTTTACATGTCCGTACCTCTTCCCTGTGGTTGAGGGGATATAACACCATCTTCAGCTCTGAGGTCAATTTATGCTGGGATAAATTTTATGCCAATTTGTCTACATCAATCAATATAAAACCTGTGACTTCTTTTAGGGTACATATGTGAAACAGTTCTGGCACAATGGCATTTGAAAGCAAGTCCACTGGGATGATGACTGTCTTCTAGGAAGTTTGCTTGCTCTGGAAGAGATGCTTTCTGCCATCCACTGGAAAATGCTAAGTCTGTATGTGATGGATAGAATGCTGGCAGCTACCTTGTCTCTGTATGGCATGACCCCATTTTGCCTCTGAGGTTTTTATTACAGCAAGAAATTTCCTTCTTGCCTAAACCTATATTATTTTCTGTTACTTCTGGGTGAAGGCATTCCCATCCAATTCACACTATTATATTTTCATTTTATAGATAAGAACAGTCAAACTCTGATGAAGTAAATGCTTTCTTCCCAGACATGTTGTTTTCCTTTAGTCAGCAGGTACAAAGTAATGGTTTAAAATATTTAAAAAGGAAATTTAAAAACAACCTTTCTCTTCATCATTTTCTCTGCTTAATTCCGTGAAAACAGGGGTCTCCTGGGGGGAAAAAAAAGCGAAGAAAAAACTTGAAGATGTGGTTTACAGTGTATTTACTATTAGCAGTCAGTAGGTTTAAATTATAACTTACTGATATAACTTACTGATGTTGCAAAGTAGCTCAAAGACAAAACTGTGGATAACATTCCCAATTAAGAAATTATATAAATATGCACTATACTCATAAAATGACATGATAAAATGAAATCCTCACAGCTGGCAGGCTCTCTTCAGCCATATCCTGGGTCTGATATTTTGCTTGTTAACTAGAGACAGAATCCCATGGACTTTTCTGCCTAGGCTGGCTTCAAACCTCTACCCTCCAGACACCTGAGTAGTTAGGACTACCAGCATGAGCCACCAACGTTGGGCCATAGCTGTCTTCATACTGTGTTTAATTTCAATGTTGTACTAACTGCAATTGGATGAGATTAGGTACCATCTCTGCTTTAATGATAAAGAGGCTACAGTTTAGGAAGATTACTTAATGACTCCAAGATTATAAAGTTAGCAAGTGAGGAACTGGTTCAACTCCTAGTCTTGTGTTCTTGCTCCTCCTTTATGACAATACCCAACTCAGTTAACAGCAAGCAATACTCTGTCAGACTTGTACATGGCCTCTGTGGAGGATGAGGCCACTGCCCACCTGCTCTTTCCCTTCCAGACCTCGTCTCACTTGCTCTTCAATAAACTTGGCAGTTTTTTCTTCATCATCAAGGTCCTGCTTCTTCTTTTTCTCTAGCTCCAGTTGCCGCCGAATAGTTTCTGGGTCCCTGTCTATGTACTGAATGTACCAGCCTTTTGGTGTCTCATCCACTTTGCACAAGCCTTAAAGAAAACAACAGATACAGTGTGACTGTGTATGGTGATGGCATAAGGAGCCTCAATGAAAGCTGTTGATCCAAGGAGTGGAAGAAAAGAGCAACAGATGGGGTTATTCTGAGAAAAACATAACACACACACATCTGAAATGCAATAGCAAAACTCCTCCATGCAATAAATAAACACTAAAAGAAAAAGGAATGGCCAAAAAGTAACACAGGCTCAGATGGCAGGGTGGGCAAACAGTGGGAGGGAGAGGGCTACTGAAGTGGGGAAATGGGGATGGATATGGTCAGTGTAGTTTATTTGTACATATGAAAATATAAAATGATACCTGATGAAATCATTTTTTAAGAGGGAGAGGGGAGAGGAGGAGAATGAGGGAGAGAATGGATGGTTGGGACACACTGTACATGAGGCTATGTCACAGTGAAACCCCCCTTGCACACCCAATGTATGCTAGTAAAAACAAATTACAGATTATGTAAGTTTAAATCTAAATCAAGCAGAATATAAATACAAGTGTGTTTCACTTCTGCCTATTTACTCATTCAAATATAGCAAATAGATTCAAGCACATAAATTTGGAATACTGGCACTTATTGTGAGTGAAGTGGTATCAGTCTTTAAACAGAAAAGGTTGTTGTGCATTTTATATATTACACTAAGGTAACATTTAACAGAGAAGCACATGGAAAAACAATTGTTTGGCATAGCAATTATCTAACCATTTCTAAGTATTGAATATCCAATGAGTACATGATGTTTTGTTAACTTAAAAGGAGCAGTAGACAGCTAGGGGCTCACACCTATAATCCTAGCTACACAGGAGGCTGAGATCTGAGGATGGCAGTTCAAAGCCAGCCTGGGGAGGAAAGGCCGTGAGACTCTTATCTCCAATTAAGCACCAGAAAACTGGAAGTGGAGGTGTGGCTCAAGTGGCAGAGCACTCAAGTTGGGATAACACCCAGGTCCAGCAGTTAAGCCCCACGACCAACCCAAAACAAAACAAAACCCTAGATAATAAATGAAACCAACCCTGGAACGGTATGTCCCTCTTCTCCCATTCTGAAATTGCCCTCACATATCTTCTCTTCTATTTGATTTAGAAATTACACATCCTCTCACTCCCATTAATGAAGCCACATGGCAGCTCTCTTCTTACCTTCCCTGCCCAGCCACTTGGTAAAGTCCGTCAGTGTTTCCCACTGAGTGGCATTCATGTGGATGTGCTCGCGGTGGCTGATGTACTCATTGTAGACGATGTTGTTATGCACTCTCTTGGTACCTAACAACAAAATGTGACACTGGTGACCCTGAGAAGACCAGACAAAATTATAAAGTCATTACCTAGGCAATACTTAAGATGCTTACCAAAGCGTCTCCTGAGAAGTTCTAGAAAGTCATTTCTGAACTCCCTAGTAAAAGAGACAGGAAAGTGTTAAAGTATTTTCTACATATATATATCACCATCTTTCTGAAATCTAAGCAATCATCATTTTAATACCTAAACAATATAGAAACAGCTATGAATCTTTAAAACTAAACAAGGAAAGGAAAGAATAAGGTGAGGAGTTGGGGTTTGAAGTCAGATCTTCAAACCTGACTAGGCAGGAGGCTAGGCAGGAGCTGCACCATTTAGTCATACCTCCAATTCTTTTTGGTTTGGCTACTTTTCAGATGGGATGTATACTTATTGCTTCAGAGCACAATCCTACCCATGCCTCCCAAATAGCTGGGTTTATGGGCTTTTCCAAGCTAGCCTCAATCTATGGCCCTACCATCTCCCCCCCTCAAGACAACGGCTGTTAAGGGAAAGTCAATTTAGAACTGAAACAGTTTCTCCTTAGTGAAGCAGCCATACAAAAAGTTACCATATAGAAGCAACACTAAATGTTAATAATGATAATTATGAACTAATGTTCACTGACTACTGGATACTCTTCCAGGTACTTAATTTTCCTTCAGACTCTGAAAGAGCAACAATACTGGGAAGTGGATACTTTTTCAGTGTTGTCTTACCAATAAGGAGATTAAAGCACAGAAAAACTCAAGTAGTTCATCCATGGGCACTCTTCACATCTCCTAAGAGGACAGGAATTTGCTATAGGACAGTTGATAGCATGACCTGTATTCTCAGTCATAATTGTGTCAGAATGAAAGACAGCTTTATAGTTTTGTATGTTTCAAATAGGAGAGGGAGACCAATAGCTACTAGAAACACTTTTGTAGCAATTTCATACTGTGATAGATTTTCAACACAAGATAAAACCTGAGCAGAGAGATAATGGAGCCTTCATATTAGCATATAATGATAATAGATCTCCAATATACAAAACTGTATTAAGCACTTATAAATGTCTATGAGATGAAAATGCCTTTGAGTTACTTACTCTGAAAAATAATCCATAAACTGTTGAGGATTTTCTGAAGCCAGCAACAGTTGTCTCTGATGAGATTCAGACATACAATGACACTTGAAGCCATTCTACAAAAATATGTAAAGGTAGTAATTACATTCTTTTAAAAAACAAACAAAACAACAAAGGAGGAGGCTACAATGCTTGATAACAAATGTACTCATTATCTTGCCCATGTAATTGTAGCCCCTCTGTACAGTATTTTCACAATAAAAAATAATAAAAAACTCAAAACAAACAAACAAAACAACCCTGTAGCATTTATTGTCATCTGGTAATAACCCAAGATAAATCAAAAATGTTTGAATAATAAGATCTCAACAATAGGGCTCATTAAACAATAATGAAGGCAAAAGACAATCAGATGGAAAAATTCAATATAGGACAACGCACTAGGAAAACTAACTGCTCTAAACCTCTTCAACCAGTCAATGCAAAAGTAAAAAAACTAGTGGGGTGAATGAGAGTGGGTTCTATTCCAAATTTAGAATCCTGAGAAAATTGAGAATTAAAAGCACCAATAATGTGGAACACAGTTTTTAGAAGCTATTTTGTAAAATACTATAATGGTGAGTGAAGTAAGCCTGTTCTATTTGTGAAACTTTTAAACACGGTAGATAAACAAATACCAAAGAAAATTTAAAACAAAAATTTTCAACTCCAGCATGCATACTGGGTAGTTCAGTTGATGCAGAACTTTCAGCTAGTGCTGTATTATTGCTGTGTTTAAGTCACATATGGTTGTTTGGCTGCTCCCTAATTTTTGAAAATCTACCTCCCCAAAAGCAAATAGTCTCCACAAAGCAAAGTTAATGTGCTTAACGGAAATGAAAGTAAAAATCTGAGAATTGTTGATAGTATGTCTTTAGTGGGAGCTGGGTGGTGTTAAGCGAAAAAGGAATCAGGCATTGGCAGTGTCTTCTTTTTTTTGGGGGGGGGAGGGGGGGTCCGGTCGTGGGGCCTGAGCGTTGTCCTTCAGCTCTTCAGCTCAAGGCTAGCGCTCTACCACTTGAGCCACAGTGCCACTTTTGGCTTTTTTCTTTTTGCTTATGTGGTGCTGAGGAATCAAACCCAGGGCCTCAGGCATGCAAGGTAAGCGCTCTACCACTGAGCCAACTTCCCAGCCCTGGCAGTGTCTTTTTAAGCATGTGTAGTTTGTCTTCAAAAATGCTCTCCTTAAAGAGGAGAAGATATCAGGGGTATCTTGTATAATTATACATGTTATTATGCACTTTTCAAAACCCACAGACTCGTCAACACCAGAGTGAGTCCTAATATAAACTGGACATAGGGTGATACTGATGTGTCAAGGTAGGCTCAGCTTACCACAATAGATGCAATACTCTGTTGCAGGATGTTGATGGGGGCAGCCATACACAAATGGGAAGAGGAGGAATATGGGCAATCTCTGTACCTTCCAGCTGGTTTTGTTGCTGTGAACATAAAGCTGTTCTAAAAACTAAAGGCTATTAAAAAGAACAAAGGCCAGCTGCTAGTAGCTCATGCCTGTAATCCTAACTACTCAGGAGGCTGAGATATGAGGTTTGTGGTTTGAAGCCAGCCCAGGCAGGATATTCTGTGAGACTCTTTTTTCCAACAAACTACTCAGAAAAAGCTGGAAGTGACTCTGTGACTCAAGTGGTAGAGCACTGGCCTTGAGATAAAGAATCTCAGAGACAATAACCTGGCCCTCAGATCAAGCCCCAGAATCCGCCAGAAAAAAAAAAGAACAAAACATCATACTGTATTATAATCAATATAATTCATGGCTTTTTTCTTGTGTGCTCATAGGGCTTTTCCTCAGCCTTTTACTCAAGCCTGACACCCTATCACTTGAGCTATACCTTGAGGCTTTTTGGTAGAGATGAGTCTCATGGACTTTTCTGCCTAGATGGGCTTTGAATCACCATCCCCAGATCTCAGCCTCTTCATTAGCTAGGATTATAGGCAGCACCTGGCCAATTCATGGCTTTTGATTGAACTTTGGTTGGTTTGAAAGTGTGACTAGGCAGTGTGTGATACAAAGGATTTGAGATTAAGTATGCTAGATTAATGACACACTAACATATAGATAGATAGATAGATAGATAGATAGATAGATAGATAGATATAAAAGCATCCTGATGGACTGGGAATGTGGCTTAGTGGTAGAGTGCTTGCCTAGTATGCATGAAGCCCTGGGCTAGATTCCTCAGTATACCACAAACAGAAGAAGCTGGAAGTGGTGCTGTAGTGATAGAGTGCAAGTCTTGAGCAAAAGAAGAAAAGAAGCTTAGGGACAGTGCCCAGGCCCTGAGTTCAAGCCCCAGGACTGGCAAAAATAAAAAATAAAAATAATAAGTAAATAAATAATAAAAGCATCCTGGAATGCTGAGGCATATCAAGTGTTCAGAGGGAGAATATCCTGATACTTAGGGTTTACATTAAAATATTTTAGAAAAAAATAAATATGGCAAAGTACTTCAAGTGTTATATATGGGTGTCTACTACCCACAGTAAAAACCTTAAGAACCAAGTCTGCAGCCAGTCTCTTAGACCCTAACATTTCATTACAAGTTGCCAAAATTCATTACTAGAGGAAATAAAGGCATCTTGTGCTTTACAGAATGGTTTACATATGGTTTTCTCTTTGCTATTTTCTTTTGTGTTCTTTCACTATAATAAATCATAGTAAGTAATACTACTAAAAAAATGCACCTAGTTTACTGTATTGTTATAGCAGCCTAAGCAGCTAGAGATACTGGATGTGTAAATATCCATATATCCATTGTACTAATCTCCAGTTTTCTGTGTGAGAATCTCACCCTCACTTAGAGAGAAAAGAAAGAAAATAACTATTGATGTTATTCATTGTATGTTCTACCTAAAGCACTGAAGTAGACTGATCCTTTTGCTCTTCTGAGAAAAATGCCACATCACTAATCTGCTCATAGTTCTTCAATGGGCTGCCACCATTCACCCGATTCATGGGAAGAAAGTATAAACTTCATAGCATGACATGTAAGGGTTTTAAAGGTCTTCCTGACTCACTTTACATATGATTCACTCACTTAAAACTCAACATCCAGTTGGGTGCCAGTGGCTCATCCTGTAATCCTAGGTGAGGCTGAGATCCGTGGTGTAGATTGCTAGCCTGGAGTGAAAAAGCTAAGGCACAGGGACGCGTGCACAACATTCACTCCCACCTCCACACCCCCACACACCTCCACCTCCTGACAAGTAGGTACAACTATGGTTCTCACTTTACAAGTGAGTAGGCAAATAGAGAATGTAAGTAGTTTGCCCAATCTTAAGGGGCACGGCTGGACGCCATGATTCTGACAGCCTGACTCCCAGCTAAGTCCTTCATTTTATAAGCGCAGCACAATGCCATACTGTCGGTGCTCGATAAAGTCTTGTTAAAGACCATTGTTTTCCTTTGTCACCAGAAGCCGACTGGGAATCGTCCTACTTTTCTCACGAGTGAAGTCAGAGCCGCCGTGCGCCGGCACAGCACTCACCACTCCCGCTGCCAGGAGAGCTGTGCGCGCCTTTTACTTGTTGTTGTTGTTTCCTTTGGGGGTTGGGAGCTGGAGCGGGGAGGAAGGGAGTGTCAGGGGCCGGGGAGCCCGGCTGAGGCCCGAGCCCGCAGGGAAGCACAGCTCTACGGGGCTGGGCAGGTGGGTCGCTCCGGCAAGACCCCAGAGGCCCCAAGATGCGACTGCCAGGTGCCAGCCTTCATCCGCGCCAGGAACCCCAACCTGGACTTCCGGGACGGCCTCCGGGGCATACGGAGCCATTACAGGCCTACTCACCTCGTCCCGGCACTGCTTCTGGCACATCTGGCAATACCATCGCAACTTCTGAAGCCCTTTGGATTTGATTCTGTTGGCGATGGCCTTGGGAGTGAGAAAATCTGACTTCCCCATCGCGACCACCACAGCTAGCGACCGCCTTCGGGCGCGCCGAGTCCCGCCGACCGGAAGCGGAACTGTCACCACGGGAGTGGGCGGGACTAAGTTGACAGCCGGAAAAAGGTGGGTCCAGGGAAAAGGCTGGGTTCCAACACTCGCGAGACTTCTCGGTCTCTGGCGGGAGGGAACGAGACTGACAGGGCGAGTGAGGAGAGAAGGCGTGTCGAGGGAGACTTCGCACAGGCGCATTAAGGCCCGCCTGCTCGACCTTCAGCAAGGTAGCCACCACCATCTTTGCTGGGGCGAGGGTCGCCGGCCTGTCTGCTGTGGCCCTGCAGTCGCAGTGGTATGGAAACTTGCGGGAGGGTTGCCAGGCACGGGAGAGCTCAGTCAGATGGCAGGGGGAGACGGCTTGGGGGTGCTGTGGGACGGACCCGAGCGTCAGGGCCGAGCTAGGCCCCGAGTCCTGCCCAGGCCGTGTTGGCCGGGGCTGCGGGGAGCGGCTTGGAAGCGGAAGGGCGCGTGCGAGGGCGGGAACCGTGATCCGAGGGATGGAGGTCACGCCGCGTCCCCCGGGGCCGAGTGGGCCCTCGGGGCCCTCGGCTCTGGGACGGTCGTCGGAATTAGCGACGGGGCGGTCTCCTGCTCACAAATCTTCCTGGAGCTTGCGCCGCATACCGGGCACCGAGTGCCGGGAAGGCCTTTAGCGGGGTCCGCAAGCAACTAAGGAAAGCCTGGGGTAGAATTAGGTTGTGTTTAATGCCCTTGATGATCAAGCCTGCGAGGCCCTCCCGGGCTAATCGGGGTGACCCTGTAGCCCTGATCGGCCCCGTGTGCACGTTGGTCCGGCACCCACTGTGGCAGACGCTTTCCTGGGCAGTGGGGAAACGAAGGCGAACGCCGTAGACCTTCGGGGGCTGGTGGTCGCCTGGTGGCGTACGAGACTTGAAAGATGGGTCTCTTGATGGAGAAGGACTGGGCTATTAGCACTGACTCCAAATTCTTGGGTGGAAGCAGGAGCCCTGCAAGGTCATGGAATAGCGTCAAGGTCTGTCCTGAGAAGGAGGAAACAACAGGTGGACTTTTAAGTGACATTTGTTAACTGCTGTTCAGGTGTAAAGTGCTGTCACATTTGTGGACTTTTAACCTTAGTTCGCTGAGGCCAAAAAAAAAAAAAAGTATTAGAAGCTCTAAGAATGGCATTAAAAGTCCTTGGGTGGCGGCACTGTTTAACAGGATGGGATGTTTTAAAGTTAGACAGTCTGGAAGAGTTTCTTACACCCGGCGAAGAGGATTTTTAAAAATATTTTTATTGTTACTGTAACGGTGGTGTACAGAGGGGTTACATTTACATAGGTCAGGTAAAGAGTGCATTTCTTTTGGACAGTGTTACCCCTTCCCTCACTCCCAGTTTTTCCCTCTCGTCTTCACCCTCAAGTTCTAGAGTTCATTTTCAACATAGTGTTTAGTTGAGTAGCACTGCTGCATTTGTTCACCCTCTGTCCCTCCATTTCTGTGCCCCCAGCTAAGGGTTTTGTTTTTTTCTTGCAAATAGGCTGTATCCTAGCAATTAATTCGATTTTACAGGACGGAGGATTTCTAAGGAGCTACAGCACTGAAGTCGGGTTCTGTATGCAACTTCATAAGGAGGAACTATAAAAGCATCGACTGAAACAATTCTTACATTAAGCAAAGAATCTGTAGCAATGTATGAGTTTCAAGATAAAGGGGAAATTAAATATGGAAACATTATGAAGGGTTAGCCTTAGAAGTCAGATTGTTTTCCTAATACTGAGAAGGAAGATTCATGAGAATTAATCCAACAGTAGTTGAATTCTCAGGTGTGGACCTTTTCCCATAAGCCAATCAGCAGACATTTGAACAATGCTTATTCTGCACCAGTTGGCAAGCTTATAAGTGTTAAAATGCACTGATGAACAAATAGGGTTGGAGAGTTTCCTGGCATGCAGTGATGCTCAGAAATGTCAGTCCTTTTCTTTCCTTCTTGTGCATTAATGTTATCTGCAGGGTATTTTTTGGAAACAAGTTAAATCCAAATTGGTTTTTAGAACCTTAAAACTATTTTTTAAAAACAGAGCTTCAGAGACGTAATCATCAAATTCTAGAAATAGCATTTAATAAAAACATATAAATTATTGGGGTTGTGAGGTGGCTCACCCCTGGAATCTTAACTATCCAAGCTGAGATCTGAAAATAGTTATTTGAAGCCAGTCCAGGCATGGAAGTCTCTGAGATTCTTATCTCCAATTAACCACCAAAAGGCTGGAAGTGGAGCTGTGGCTCAAGTGGTAGCAAAAGAGCTCATGGACCACTCTCAGACCTTGAGTTCAAGCTCCAGAACTGGCACAAAGGAACTTATAAAATAATTTTGAACACCTTTTAGTAAAGGATTGGTTTAGTCAGACAGCTACTGTTGGAACCTAAATTTGAAATTTCAGTCATCAAATAAAGGTCAGAGTCCTTAGTCTAGAGTGTTGGTTTTTAAATCAGCAGATTATAAACACTGATCTTCAAGCATCAGTGTTCCACTGTGGAATGTATGTTCTCTCTTTCTGCTTTTGGTGTCTTCATTGCTCTTGGTGTCTAATGGTTTTCTCTTCCCACTATAGTTATCTTTTTAATTCAGATATTAAAATCTTACTGTTTATACTTCACAGAATTGATTTGAAAGGGAAGAGAAATAACTTTGCCCTCACAAAACTATTAAGATGCATTTCCTTGGATCTGTTTTGGTTCTTGGGAGTTTGAAAAAGAAAATACCATTTGTTACTGCTATGTTTCTGCTTTCAAGAAGAAATTTGAGAAAAGGAGTTCCTAGTTTTGCTGTCTTCAAATTTGGGGAACATAAATTCCTTTTTCTTTAGTGTTCAGTGTTTTCTAAAATGAAATTGCTTTGTAAGGAGCTATCAGTGGACATAAATCGCACTCTGTGTACTGAAGAGAAGAGGGCTGGCATTTCAGGAGAGAAGAGCAGGTCGTCCTCTGAAGCTGAGAATACACATTTACTGACAGATGTAAAGTAAACCTCAAGGCAGCCAGCAGAGTGTACATAGGCCAAATTGTAGACTTGGGAGCCTGTGTGTGTTGGGCACTGATGCTACAGTTCTGCCTGGATGTGTTCTTGGGTGCATTTCATCTGTGTCTGAGCTGTCCTCATCTTTTTTTTTTTTTTCTGGGTCTGGTCATGGGGCCTGAACTCTGGGCCTGCGTGCTGTCCCTCAGCTCTTCAGCTCAAGGCTAGTGCTCTACCACTTGAGCCATAGTGTCACTTCAGGCTTTTTTTCTTTTTGCTTATGTAGTGCTGGGGAATTGAACCCAAGGCCTCAGGCATGTAAGGCAAGCGCTCTACCACTGAGCCACCTTCCCAGCCCCTGGTTCCTCATCTCTTAAATAGAGGTAATAGACACATTTTGGATTAGCAAGGGGATTACCTTGGTATTCCCAAAGAACTTAGCACAGTGGCAGAAATGATGCTATTGACTCAATTAGTATTTGAAAAAACAAGTTTATAAACAGTTTCTACCTGAAATATGCAGTTATTCTATGTGGCAAAGGAAGAAGGATTATGGGTGGGTTTTGGAGAAAAAGAGTGAGGCATAGTCACTTTTCAGTGTAGAGGTAGATGATGGACTTGAACACAGCATTCATTTTCAGAATTAGACATGTTAGACTTTTCCTTGGAAACTAGCTGCTGGTGCCTTTTCCTTAGTTTTATATTACACAGCATTATATATTCTTTGCCTATAAGTCTCTTAAACTGCAATTTCTTTGAACACCTCCACTGACATTTGGTCTTCTAACAGTATCCTATGATCATGGCAGATATGGTAACTTACATTCCATTGGATTCTCTATCCATTGTATTCGACACATGTCAAGTTTCTCATATAATCTGAGGGTTTCTTTCAGTGAGAGGACATGATACAGTGATGCAGAACTTTTATCTTCTCAATGCAGAATCTTATTAGTACAAAATTCAGTATCAGATTATGTCCTAAAGAGAGGACAGACCATTTATGCCTAGCCATTCAATGTCCAGATTGTCCTTGGAAAATAAAATTGTGGCTTGACAATCATCTTTAGAGCTAAGTGAAGGTCGTGCATAAGAGGGCTTCAAGCCGGGCGCTGGTGGCTCACGCCTGTAATCCTAGCTACTCAGGAGGCTGAGATCTGAGGATCGCGGTTCAAAGCCAGCCTGGGCAGGAGAGACGTGAGACTCCTATCTCCAATAAACCACCAGAAAACCGGAAGTGGCGCTGTAGCTCAAGTGGTAGAGCGCTTGCCTTGAGCTGAAGAGCTGAGGGACAGCGCCCAGGCCCAGAGTTCAAGCCCCACGACCGACAAAAAAAAAAGAGGGCTTCAAAACACATGCTAACACATACCCCCCCCCAGCATAAAGAATCAGAAGACACTTCCTCTTCTAGCTCTCACTTGAAATGCTTATGGAAACTAAAACATTTGTTCATCCAAATTTGTTCCATATGCTAGTCTGTAATGTAATACTTGTGTCAGTTAAATTGAAGTATATGCATAAAACCATAATAGCTAAATATCAATTGTTAAAGCCTATCAATTTGGGATTTGGGGTGAAAAAGTCATTATACTGAAGGAAAAAAAAAGAAGCCAGTGAATAACTGGTGTAACTGGTGATATTTTTCTGATGCCATTCTGAGAAAAGCTTGTTAGCACTGCAATCGTTATATCTAATAGTTTGTGCTCTGAAATAGCCATTGTTTATTTCCCTGCTTTTATTTTTATCCATTCTTAAATCAACCCTAATATTTTACAAATATGTTTCCTCTAAATTATTTGTCTTTATGACTACTAGAATTATGTAAGTCAGGAGACTTTTTAAAAATAATTTGATTATGACCTATTTTAAAACTTAATTATTACTAATATGCACAATCATAAAAATGATATTGTAAAGGAGCCCTGCAAGGTCATGGAATAGCGTCAAGGTCTGTCCTGAGAAGGAGGAAACAACAGGTGGACTTTTAAGTGACATTTGTTAACTGTGTTCAGGTGTAAAGTGCTGTCACATTTGTGGACT